ATCACTTGTTCAGACATTGCAGAGCCGTGCGAGACATGCTGCCTACTGGTGCGACACACTACAAGACTTCCGCTCGTCTTAGTGTCCAGTCTTCTGAATTGTTTTGATTCATTCAAGGGAGAAAATAGTAATCTCCTTGAAAATGCTTAGATATATTTAAAAAATCAAATTTGGGATAAGAAGCGATTACTTCTTACAGCTACTTTAAAAGACATGTTTAAATTTACATGAACACCTGGTGTCAGCACTGATGTTAGGAGACATTCACATAACTGTCACCGCTATTTCGCCATTTACGCGCAACGGAATCTGTTTTGGAGGAAAATAGAGTTATTCTCTAGTGTGTGACCTTTATATATACTAGAAATTCTGAAACTATAATATAAAAAATACCTAAAATGACGACACCTCCAAACGAACATATGACCATGAGATATGACAAAATGACAGCGACAAATGTCCATGAACTTTCTTGCATGCATTGAATGCAGTAGAACATAGTATGGCATGATAAGGCGTGACATACATGCATTATAATACATAGAGTTCATTTCAGTGAGTGGTATGAAAGTTACGAATGCAGCTAACAGTAGAAGGGTTTGGGTCAATGGACCTTCAAGACGGGTTTTGATAAAAATACTAGCTCGTGTATTCGTAGGAGCATTGCATCACACACAATTGACAGATGACTTCTTTGAGTGGCATTTTAGAAGTTGGAAAGTACAATATAGACAAACCTTATGGAATAAAACTTCTTTATTTGGTGAGAGCGACGTTTCGATATAGATTGTTGTACCGTTGTCCTGCTTGACAACGGATCTGTATCGAAACGCGCTCTCACCAAATAAAGAAGTTGCAATCCATAAAGTGTGTCTATATTGCAAACTGGATGAATTCAGGTTCGTGCATTTGCGTCTTTACAAAATGGAACAACGCTTCATTGCTTGAAGGCGGGATAGTTTACAGCTGTCATTCATGACTTCTGAGACGTGTGTTCAAGAATCTACATTGGTACAGTGGATTAGTGCTGATACGGGCATAATGCTGCTGGCATGTTGTTCAAGGCAACGTTCAGTGATACCCATATTCTGACAATAAAACATCAACTTACGATGTGGTTTGGGTAGTCTTATTAAATTATACCTGGAAACATGAAAATACGCCATTTGCACATAAGCTTCAAAAGATCTAAGCATTATCCTAAACAATTTATTTTCAAATGTCATGCATTTGAACCTAAAAACTTCCTTCTTATTCACTTATGTGGGAATATTCGAAAATTCCTGTCAGTTCCAGAAATATATAGTAAGGGTTGAGAAACATGGTAAATATAGACACTTATTACGAAAATAACATTTTAAAAAGAGTGAGTCTAAGTACGACTCAGCTTGTTCGCGTTTCACCTTTCCGCTGCTGTGGTGGAACAAGCCAAAAGAATTGACACCTCTGTGTTAAAGTAACCACGGACAGGGACCAAGTCAGCAGGACCTGCTTAAATACGCTCATCGCTACTGTTTTCTTCTACAGCTAACAACACCATTCTCAAACCTTTCTACAAATCTTCTCAAATTTGAAAAGAGTTACAGGCGGACAGGACAAGCATTTCCAGATGTTTGTAGATTAACCAAAAGATTAACCAAGTCTGATTTAAAGAATATAATCCACAGGGTAATCCCAAAGCCATGTTTCTTTATCGTGGGATTCTGTTTATCAAGTTGACAAGGAGTGGCTATTATGTTTGTAAATAATCAAGGTTTTTTCTCCCCTCTATGTCGTGGACAAGGAACACATTCTGAAGGGCCTACGGCCTTGTGGAGGGTCACAGTTAGCTCTTGAAGGACTAGTTCCCAATTGGGTGGTAATATGTCGCATCCTATCATGAAATCGGTGAAGTCTACGGCATTTAAAGAAAGACTTTTGGACAGGCGTGTGTTAATTTCAAGACAAATGCCAAGTCTCACTATGACCTAATTCTGTGTCCAAAATGGCCCCTATGACTGATCTGTAGCGGAAGATCGGAGATGAGAAAGTCTCGTTTTAAGATACAGAGTAAGACGGAAGTTGACAAATGAACAGATAGCTGTACTTTGAAGTTTCTTTGAAACAGTATTGAAACTTGACCTTATGTAGTGATGATGTTCTATTTCTATTATAAATTATCACTAGGGGATACATGTAGTGGACTAAGAGGCTGCAAGTTGCTATTTGCGAGGTTCAATGCCAGGATCCGGTGATCATGGCTTCGAATTCCCATTTTCCCTGATCCTTGAATTAGCCCCATGTCGTGCTGGTAAAGGAAAGGTCTACGATCTAACCAGCAGGCTCAGTCTGGGATTTCGTCCCACGAAAAAACTGAATGAGTGAGTGAGTATGGTTTTGCGCCACTTTTAGCAATATTCCAGCAATATCACGGCGGGGGACACCAGAAATGGGCTTCACACATTGTACTCATGTGAAGAATCGAACCCGGGTCTTTGGCGTGACGAGCGAACGCTTTAACCACTAGGCTACCCCATCGCCACCCGAAAAAGCTGACACGTCATGATAACTGAAATTCTATTGCACTTACTCATCCATTATGTTTGGACATATCCATAACAGTTCAATATTACGTAATACTAAAATGCTTATAAGCAAAACCTCCACCTCTCTCGGGATAAGATAAGATACGTGGGTTAGCCGAGCCTCACAAACGTTTGTTGTGACATTGCATGATGTAAAAGATGAATATCAACAGAAGCATTAAGACAATTGAGCTAAATGTTTCGCTGTCACAAGTCAAGGAGGTCTGTGACCTTCGGAAAAAGAACAAACTTGAGGAACGTGCAGTGATCAAGTACTTGCTGAGAAGGGACTTAATACGAGACAGCATCCATTAAGATGTGATAGGGAAGGACGCGCCTTCCTATGCCACCCTAATGAGAAAAGTATTTGCATGGCGGCGAGAGACTTCACGACAACCTATATCCTTCGAGAAAGGACTTGGGGTGCATTTGTTGGACCCAGTGACTTCTGTCTTTTTACCATGACATTTAAAGTACTTAAAGTATTTAAAGTACAAATAAACTTGGATGTGTCTTCAAGTATGGTGAGGGTCAGGTAGCTTAGTGATTAAAACGTTCGCTCGTCACGCCGAAGGCCCGGGTTCGATTCCCCACAGGGGGTACAGTGTGTGAAGCCCATTTCTGGAAATAGCTGCAATATTTTAACAGCGGCGTTAAAACTAAACTCACTCACTTGTATGTGCTGGTTGTTGGAGTGGGCAGATTTCATCCTGTCGACAGACCGGCCTTAAATGTGACGTGTCTCAACCTTTTCCTCCAGGTGTCCATGCATAATTATAAAAAAAAAACATATATTACCATAAAATACGTTTAAAAAATTAATTGTATAAATATTCTAGTTGAACTATTATTTGCATTCATTGCCAAGTAACCTTTCAGCTTAGAAGTTGTTTTCCTTCTAAAACTCGTCCTTTCACATTACCCTCTGCATCACCAGCATCATCACATCTCGAGTCAGCGTTTGATGTTGACTTAAAAAGTGAGAATCGTAGAGCATGTGGAATACGGAATTTGCACCAGCAGGTGTCACAAACGACACATCAGACTAGCGAATTAACGTTTGAAATCCTTTACGTTCGGCGGTTGGCAACGTCTGTTTGCTTCCTCAATCCAGTATTGTATTTGGCGTGGCAGTCAATTTAAGCATATGGCCAGATGGAGATAGGATGCCAAAGATGCGACAGCCGACACCAAAGGTGCGTCTTATTTAAACGCGTTTTTGTAGAGGCACTTCCGATTTTCTCACGTTCATAATTTGTAATTCAATAGTGCACCACTGGCTGCTGGATCAACATTTTTAACTTTAAAGATTGTTTGTGACGTTATTTCACACTTAAGTTTAACCTAACAAGAAGTATGTTTTTGATAATGTATGGAAACGTCTGTACACAGAACACATAACAAATAAGCTATAAGCCGTAGTAAAAGCAGCAGCCAAAGTAGTAGTAGTAGTAATAGTAGTAGTAACTGCAGCAGCAGCAGCAGCAGCAGCAGCAGTAGTAGTAGTAGTAGTAGCCGCCCTGCTTGTGGATCTGTTTCTTTATAAATCAGAATTCCTGCTCGGGTTGAGAGGACAAAAGCACAAGGTAATTTTGTCAAAAAGTTTAACTCCATCTTCAGGTATATAGATGATCTGATGTAAATAACTGTCAAATGGCCAATTCCATTCCTCTGATTTACCCGCCTGATCTTGGAATGATTGAAACAAGTGAGACATTCTCATGTGTTTCTTGTTTCTGTATGAGAAAAGGGGTGATTTTATGTCAAGATATATTTCAACAGCTCCAACCAGCGTTTATATTTCACAACTATTGAGGTACAATCGAGTCTGCGCTTTTTACCAAGACTCATAAGTTGTTCGATCAAAGTTAGAACATTCAAGGTCTCAGTAATGCTTTCAAAGGGTTATTATGGTTCATTTCAATGTGATGTATCAGAGACAAAACCTGTGTCCGATGCAATTCCCTATTTTGACGTTTAACATCTTTTTCAGTTGAATATTTGACTAGCCTTTGCACATGTTTATGACGATTGCCACTGATGGGGCAGGAAACACTCACCTGTTCAGGAACACCTGGTGTCAGCAATAATTGTCAGTGATTCATTAACACATGCTCTGTCGTATCCCATGATGCCAGTCACTGGATTGTCTGGGTCAAGACAAGATTATTTACAGAACGTCGTCATACAGCTGTAATATTGCTGAGTTCGGCGTTAAACAACAAGCACATGTTCATTATATAGTCGGAATTGTACAATCGACTCTGCTTTTAGCAGGAATTATTTGTTGATGTGGAAGGTGTTTGTCGCTATCATTTCTTAACAATGGGTGGCTTCACGACTACTGCTAAGTTTTTATAGCATAATCGATTTTGATAATAATTATTTATGATGCGAAAAGATGAAAGTCTTGATGTATATCTAATTTGATTTCAGGAACTGGCCCTGTTTTAAGACGATCAGGATCTCAATTCATTACAGAGGAAAATGGGCTCGGGGTAAGTGGCACATGATCTCTCAACATGGAAGTTGGGACCACTGTATGTTATGAGCAATTTACTGTTTGAGCATAATCATCATTGTAAGATGACAGTCTTGATGTCATATTTCCCAGTTAACGTTTTCAATGTTAAATGTGATATTACACTAATGGGGTTACACCTGTGCGTCAAAATGTAAGATGGACTTGGGGACGTTTTAATTCAGTATATATCATGTATATTCTTATTTAATCCATTGCAATACAATTGGCATACATACATACGACATCTTGAGACATTTGGATTTAGGAGGATTAACCTTACTTGAACATCAATCTACCACTTGAGATAACATCTGATAGAATGGTTCATTCTCCGCTAACCTGCTTTATATCAGATGCGGACCTCGAATAACACTACATCCTTATAGATAGATTTCTCTTTTAGCCAATAGAAACAACTGTATCACAAGCATTCAAAAATTGCATAACTACACAATTCCAATACATTCACCACACACTTCCAATACATACACCAGACATCACGAATACATTCACAACACAAATCCAATACATGCACCACACAAATCCAATACATCAACCACACAAATTCAATACATTCAACACACACTTAAAATGCATATTCCAGACATCACGAATACATCAACCACACAAATCCCAAACATCCCCCAAACAAACCCAACACATATACCATACATACTCAATACATCCACCAGACAACACGAATACATACACCACACAATTCCAATAAATACAGCACACAAACCCAAAACATACACCAGACAAACCTAATATATTCACCAAACAAAATCAACACATCCACCAGATATCACGAATACATCAATCCCACAAATCCAATAGATACGCCACACAAACCTAAAACATACAGCACACAAATCCAATGCATTCAAAACACATCACAAATACATCCACCACACATCCCCAGTACATTCACTACACACATCCAATACACCCAGCAGACACCACGAATACATCCACCACACAAAGCCAATACATTCAACACATAAATCCAGTACATACACCACACAAATCCAATACATACACGACACAAATCAAATACTTTCAACACACAAACCAAATACGTCCACCATGGAAACCAAATACATCAATGATACAAACCAAATACATCCACTATACAAACCAAATACATCTACTTTACAAACCAAATACATCAATGATACAAACCAAATACATCCACTATACAAACCAAATACATCAATGATACAAAACCAAATATATCCAAATACATCAATGATACAAACCAAATACATCCACTATACAAACCAAATACATCAATGATACAAACCAAATACATCCACTATACAAACCAAATACATCAATGATACAAACCAAATACATCCACTATACAAACCAAATACATCAATGATACAAACCAAATACATCAATGATACAAACCAAATACATTCACTATACAAACCAAATACATCCACCACACAAACCAACATGACTATATTCCATAAAGAGGCATAAGATATTTCCTCAGTCTTGAACAAGTAGAGATCAGCATATGAATATCGGAGCAAAAGAGCCTACAATTGGGTACATGACACCTTGTAATTGTGATATTGTTTCAGGACCTTATGATGAGAGTTCAGGTTGTGGACAATGTCGGATCCAGCAGGATACTGATCGGGGACTTCACCATGGACATGACAAGTGGGTGAAGAACTAGACACACGTGTATAGAATTGGTCCTAGTGACATATGCTGGTCGCGAGAGACCACTTGATGGTTCGGGTGGACAGGATCGGTGATGATGTGTCAACATTCACTGTTTGTTCATAATATCAATCACTGGATTGTCTGGTTCACAGTATTTTAAAGCATTTTTTATAACAGCTGGAACTACAAACAGCAATCCACAGGCCAAGAGAGATCAATGTCAGACATATCATTTTATATCTTAGACACTGCACACAATGAAACCTAAGTATAATGGCACTTAATCGAAAAGAAACAACATATTTTTTAATTGAAACACCAAACATTGACAAATCCCAATGGAACAAATTTATTCTCTTTCTCGGATTTCATATTTGGAAATGTTCAGTCTTCTATATCATTCTTGCAAAATGACGAAATATAGAGATGTAATAACATTTATAATGTTCTACTATTAGAAGTCAGATTGTATTTGAAACGGTATCTCTGTAGAGCGTGGATAACGTGAGATATGGGCCATACCTTCAACCTCTGCCTGGGCTGTAAAGTAACATAATAACAGATATGCTTACATAATGAAGCCTAGTGGTTAAAGTTGGCTCGTCATGACCAGGTTCGAATCCCCACATGGGCACATTGTGTGAAGCCCATTTCTGGTGTCCCCCGCCGTGATATTGCTGGAATATTGCTAAAATCGGCGTAAAAAAACAGATATGCTTACATAATGCAACATGCTGGTGTAACACATATCTGAATACCCTGGTCCTTGAGATGTCCTTGAGATGTCCTTGCTATTGTGGCCGAAGAAGGTTAGCATGTATCAAGATCTAGTGAATTACATACTATGTATACCAAATTGGTAAAACCTACAATTCAGTCAGTAATAACTTTCAGGTTTCAAGCTCGTTCTTGCTTACCAGGATCATTATGATTCTTTTTTCTGCACCATATCCTGCTGTGATGTGGGAAGGTCGTGACTGCACTCTGTACCCATCTTCGGCGGGCACCCCCCATGTAGACCGAGTAAAGTTGAATGTTGTGATATTTCAGGCCTGGATGTTGCTAGGAGCGTGTATACATCGTCAGGCTTTGAGACGCTTGTGTCTATCCCGTCATTGCGAAATACTGCACAGATAGATCTCTTCATAAACGCACGGGTAAGTACATCAACCGCCATGATCAGCTATCGGTCTTTATACATACATCAAACTAGTGTTAGGAATTGGTTGAAATCTCACAATTGATGATTGCTTCATTACCAACGAACAATCATCGAAAAAAATTGGTTAGCGTCATTTTTCAGATTTTCCTATCCAGGTTGTTATTGCAGATATGTATAACATGATGCAACTTGCTACTTTAAAGTGATGACTAATATATCATGAACATTTCTTCAAGAAATATTCAGTCATGGCTTTTCAGTTAGTGAAGTGAGTTTTCTAAGAATTAAACACGTTTTCATGCCCTGACAACTTCTAAGATATGTTCCATTGTCAAGTATTTCAAAGACTAAAACAGTAGTTCCAAAATCGTTTATGTTCGATTATGAGAAAATGTGATCGATTGCTTGGTCGTTTGGTCACTGTGATCAATCTTCGATTATTTCAATTAATCGGAACACCACTACATCAAACCCGACTATCTCAAAATGGCGGGGATCATGATGTCAACTCGCGATTCAAAGGGCATTATAAATTTAATTTTATAATTTTATGAATTTTATTTTCCTCTAAATCTCAAACGTGCAACACCAGCCAAACTGTGTTTTTTCTACAATTGCTGTTCACTAGAGGTTCAGTTGTCTCGGAAGTATGTAATGGGCACCGGCAAATTACTCGAAACATTTGACTTCATCTCTTCAATGGTTTATGTCCCTTCATTTATCCCTACAGCTCAGCCTTGGTGTTCACATTGTATAATATTTCAGTACACGCCTTTTCTTTTCGAACCCGGGTCTTCGGCGTGGCGACTGAACGCTTTAACCAGGAGACTACACCACCGCCTCGAGTTTAACTCAGAAATTGTTTCACACTCCGGCGCAGTGATGACTTAGCATAACATCACTGCCACAGGCTAATTTGCATATCACGTGACCGGACTTTTTCTCTTGTTTGTAAACAAACGCGCATAGTCATAATAAAAAGAGACTGGACTTACGCAAGCTTTGCGGCGCGCTCTTCACAATATTTTATATTGTTACATATATATTCTTCCACAACTACGACAGTAAGGTTTATGACAATACATATTTAGATATCAAACTGGCTGCATCGTTTGCTCTCCGTCGGCTTCGATGACGGCACGTGGAGCCGTACAACCTATGTAAACAAAGAATCGCTGCGCAAATCGAAATAGTGTTACATGTTTTAGGATATTTTCTCAGTGAAACTAAACAATTCTGTCAAAGATGTTTACTTAGATGTGTAGACTCGTCAAAAATAAAAGAGTTAAGAAATATGTACATTATATTGAATGGACTGTGTAAGATGTGACGAATCGTCACATCTTTCTGGACTGTGACAGAGGTACTATGCTGGCTGGTCACATGGAACTCTGGGTAGGAGAGTAAAATTGTTTGTTTCTGGTTAATGCATTCACGGTGAAGTGTAGGATGGTGTGGTGGAACTTTAACAAAGATATGGCAGACACGTGTAGGACAATTCAAACTTAAGTGCATCAATGACACAATCTATATTATGTCCGACCCCATTCCTTACTGGATTCGTACCAAAGATTCCAGTGTTTTCTAGTGAACAATTGTCTTGTCTTTTCTAGCTTTTTCGTAAACACCTGGTGTCATCACTATGTCATAGTGACTCATAAACACATGCCCATGATACGTCAGACTCGTACAATTGCGTCTGACTTTAGCAGGGGTTCCTTTTGTCGCTTCTATTTAGTCATAGAGTTAAACAGTCCTCGGTTTTAAACCCATAAAATGTTCTCGAAACATGCTCGGAAATGGCGTACTGTTTGTACGGAAATATTTGTCTCTTTTAATGGCAAGAAACAAGTAACAGCTCAGATAATCTGTCTGAAACAAAACCCACAATATGACACATTTTTAACAATAGTATATACAATAAAGTCGAAATGCGTATAACGAACTACGGCTATGACGAACTGTAATTAGTGGCACTTTAGAGGTGTTGCCATAGTTTACTGTATTCAAAACAACTTCACAGTATCTAACCATCATTGAACAACAGGGTCTAGGACAATTGCCACCCGGACAATTGCCACCCGGACAATTACCACCGGAGAAATGCCAACCTGACAATTGCCACCTAGGACAATTGCCACCAAGGTCAATTGCCACCCAGGACAATTGCCACCCAAAACATAAAAACATAATCCAGTTTCTGTACCAACTTATATTGAGTTTGACATGATAATTCATAACAAATAGCAACATATTCTTCCATATAACCAACTTGACAAATCTTGCTCAAATAAATGCCCAATTACATTTTTAATTACACATTTCTTAAAGTGAGCTGATTACAAAACATTGACTTTTCGTCATCTAAAGTTGTGTTTATTGACAACCTGCATTCATTTTCTCAAATAAAATTACATAAAATTCGGGGTGGCAATTGTCCTCACTATTATAGTAAAAATAACTGGGTGGCAATTGACCTGGGTAGCAAATATCCTAGGTGGTAGTTGTCCTAGGTGGCAGTTGTCCCGGTGGTAATTGTCCGAGTAGCAATTGTCCGGTGGCAATTGTCCGGGTAGCATTTGTCTGGGTGGCAATGGTCCTGCTCCCGGAACAATACAACGTTAACATGGAACAATATTTGAAACAGTTTGCTTCAAGCATGATATACCACATTGATATACTCATGATATACCACATCGATATACTCATGATATACCACATTGATATACACATGATATACCACATTGATATACTCATGATATACCACATTGATATACTCATGATATACCACATTGATATACTCATGATATACCACATTGATATACTCATGATATACCACATTGATATACTCATGATATACCACATTGATATACTCATGATATACCACATCGATATACTCATGATATACCACATCGATATACTCATGATATTTCATTGATATATGCCAAGATATACCACATTGACTACGGCGTACCACATTGATATACTCATGATATACCACACGATATACTGATATACCACGATATACGACGATATACCGATGCCATTGATATACATCATATACCACATCGATATACGCATGATATACCACGCTGCTTTCAGATATACTGCCAAGACAACTACTACGGCGTCAACTGCATGACGTTCTGCCGCGACACCGATGCCTACACCTGTGATGCATTTGGGTCCAAGAATTGCACTGTTGACTACACTGGAGAGGACTGCTATATTGGTAAGGGGGATCATCCTCGGGAAACCAGGGCATGTTATGAAACATTATAAATGTTTCGCTGTCTTTGATAACTGACGGTAGAAAACCAGTAGCTCACAGATAACGAAGACATCGTGAAGGCAGACAACATGTCTATTTCAAATGGAAGGTAATAGTTTTGTACATAATATAAGTATATTGACTGGAGCCAATCCTTCCCACTATCAAAGGCGATAAAAATAATTCGCTGAGTTTATCCTTTCCTAGCGATAAAAATGCATCATATGACTAAGCATACGAGATGGTTATAAGCACATAATCAAAGTTACTCAATGCGTATAACGATCATATTCTCTATGCGATATGTTTGCTTTTATATCGTATGCTCTACGACGACGATGCTGTCTACCACAAGGTTGCCGGATACGCCATCAGCAGAAGAATCCTGTAACACTCAGTCAGACTGTCAGCCAAAGGGTTCTTCACTCATATCCGTGCACAGTTTTAGGAAATCAGTGGATCAGAACTGTTGGGAGACTATTTTAGCAACAAATGCCTCTTGAAATTGTTTTAGATTAAATGCCTTTCTATTTGTAGCCGTGCTATAGTGAGTGAGCGAATATATAGTCATCACGGTTCCAGACTTCTCTTTGAACAATCCAGTCTGAGCAGCTGAAACCAGCAGTTAACATTTTGAGCAGCGACCACGCCCTCGGGTGACGTTGTCATGTTACACGTTGTTACCCATCGGTCGGCTCTTTCGACATGCATGACTTGGAACTGGGTTTGCTCGGTGTCATGACCTTCAGACGTGATCATAACTGTCTTGCATTGTCCAACAAATGTCTGCTGTAGATTACAGTCTGCATTCAAAGCCTTTTCCGCCTTCATTCAGGCCTCTGTGACCTTCAAGATGATCAACCTTCCAGAACCGCCAAGGCGTCGTTTTCAGTTACCTCGCCTCAACTATTCTGCGTGAACACGTTCACCTGCATTGTCCTTTTCCTTGATGTATATGTATGTTTGTTTGCTCACATGTTTCCTGCCTTCGGTTGCAGTGAGCCCGTGCAGGACGTATCCCTGCCTTAATGGCGGATCATGCAGTCCCATCCAGACAGCAAATGGATATTCCTTCCGATGTACCTGTGACAGAGATTACTCTGGAGACGACTGTAGTCAGGGTAAGAACTCGATTGATTGATTGATTGATTGATCGATCGGTTGGTTGATGGATGGATGGATGGATGGATGGATGGATGGATGGATGGATGGATGGATGGATGGATGGATGGATTGGTTGGTTGGTTGGTTGGTTGGTTGGTTGGTTGGTTGATTGATTGATTGATTGATTGATTGAATGAATGATTTGTCGGTCGGTCGGTTGGTTGATTGATTCTATATTGTTTGTACGGATGTTTCAGGACTTTTTGTAACCCCATCATCGACCACCTTCATCTATTTAGGATTAACGTATCACTTTAGGATTATTTAAATACGGATAGTTCAACACCTATATTGACATACGTTGTGCTGTTGCAGGACGCGATGACTGCGCCAGTAATCCCTGTCGGAACAATGGCACCTGCAGTGACGGCATCGGCAGTTTCGTGTGCATATGTGCTCCAGGAATCACCGGAGACAGATGTGAAGATGGTAACAGTTCATAGACATAGTTATTAACGAAATACTTGCTCTTATACCAGTGTTCACCGAGAAACATAAGCCTGGTGGTAGTCCTACGTCAATTCTAGACATCCACGTACCCGCTGGGATTTGTGATGCCTGCCTGTAATCGGAATCAGTTCACACTACTTCAAGACTCTGAATGAGCAACAAACTCATGGACGTGCCAAACTCATACTTTCAAATATTACATAGATCACAATATTCGTAAATATGCAAGTACACTGTTAGTTAATGAAGACTTCAAGGGCAACTTCCATGGACCTACATTGTAAAATACTCACTGTGTCCTGTTTACAATACCAAACAATTTGTCTGTGAGAATTAACTAGCTTGCCTTCGAAGACCTTTGAACAGTAACTGGTTCTAAAAACAAACTATTCATTGCGCATATTATCAGTTTACTTTCAGCAGCATACTTAGAGAATTGTGTTTCACCATAGTTTATCTGTTATACACCATTTATGTTCATAAACTGATTGCTTCTTTTATTTTTAGTTAATATTACCATTTTGCAGACATCAACGAGTGTGAAGAGTTGTCTCCCTGTCGAAATGGTGCCACGTGTTTGAACACTCTCGGCAGCTATGTATGCCAGTGTCCAAGGGAGTTCACAGGCAAAGATTGCCAGACAAGTAAGTGAAGTACTTATTTGTATTAAGTAGGAATTAATACAAATAAATATGAAATTCATTTCATTCTTAATCCTAATATAAACTTCTGTTATCGACGCTTCGATGATGTGTACATCATTACACGTCAGCTGTCTTAAAGATTAAATTCCACACTGGAAACATCCAAATAAACTATCAAACTTTCAAAAACAATATAAATAATCGACTGTCTGATTTGATTGTGTTAAATTAAGATTTGATTTTGTTTATATCCAAACGCCATCAATGTGGAGGCAGTTTTGTGCATATGTTATAAGGTAACACACATATTCATTTCTTTCCAGAAATTACGAATCCCTGTTCACCAAATCCGTGTGTGAATGGTGAGTGCTACTCAAATGGCGACAACTTCATCTGCAACTGCCCTCGAGGATTCATTGGCAATAGATGTGACCAGATCGACAGGTGCACGTCAAGTCCGTGCCTCAACAACGGAGAATGCAACACCGTAGGAAACTCATTCACGTGTACATGTGATCCTGGCTACTCCGGCACAACCTGCAACATATACGACCCTTGTTACAACAGTCCCTGTGAGAATGGCGTCTGCAGCAGGAACGGTGTTAACTACGTCTGTAGATGCCAACAAGGATACGTTGGTAGAAACTGTGACGTCGTGGACACGTGCGGCTCCTCTCCTTGCTTTAATGGAGGATCCTGCGTCCCATCTGTGACAAGCCAAAGAGGATATAGCTGTATATGTGCCCAAGGCTACACCGGAACTAGATGTGAGAACTTCCAGCCATGCCTGAGTAACCCTTGCGCTAATGGGGGTGTATGTACAGCCAGTGGACGAGGATTCGCTTGCCAATGCCCAATAGAATACACTGGCGCTACCTGCACAGAAAGACGCAATTTTTGTGAACCGTACCCGTGTCAAAATGGTGGAGCATGCTTCTCAAACGACGAAAGATTCATCTGTAGCTGCACGTCTGGTTTCACTGGTGATAGATGCGAACAGGTAGATCGATGTAGCTCTAGCCCTTGTCAAAACAACGCAAACTGCATCACCATTGGTAACTCCTTCTCGTGTGATTGTCGTCCTGGTTACTCTGGTCGCACCTGCAACGAGTATAACCCATGTTTCGTCAACCCCTGTCAGAACAATGGTATCTGTCGAGCAAGCGGGGGTACCTATACGTGTGAATGTCAGCAAGGATTCACGGGTAGGAACTGCACAGTCATCAACACGTGTGAAACATCTCCCTGCAGAAACGGAGGAACTTGCTCACCAAATGGTCTTACTTATCGTTGTAACTGTGCTTCTGGATATACCGGATTCAACTGTGAAACGTACCAGCCTTGCGAGTCGAACCCTTGTCAAAATAGTGGAACATGTTTCTCGAACCCAAGTATCAACTCTTACTCATGCCAGTGTAGGGCAGGCTTCAGGGGAAATAACTGCGAAGAGACGGATTATTGCATCACAACACCCTGTCGGAACAATGGCCTATGCTCTAACACCAGAAACACCTTCAACTGCACATGTCGCAATGGCTACAGCGGTAGAACCTGTGAGATTTCTGATCCTTGTAATTCAAACCCATGTCTAAACGGCGGTTTCTGCGATGCCAGTGGTCAAACCTATAGGTGCATATGTACAGACATGTATGTAGGAAACAGATGCGCCTCAAGAAACCCTTGTGCTTCTAACCCCTGTTTGAATGGAAGATGCCTGGCTCTAAATGAATCCAGCTACGCATGTGACTGCAATGCCGGTTACTCGGGTCCCCAATGCCAGACGTTTTCAATCTGTTCACGACAGCCGTGTAATAACGGGGGCACGTGCATTGGAAGGGGCATATCTTACACCTGCAGCTGTCCACGAGGATACACCGGGAACAACTGTCAACTTCAAGACCCATGCACCTCGAATACGTGCGACAATGGTGGAACATGCAGATCTTCTGGGTCGTCTTTCATCTGTGAATGCCGCCAGGGGTACAGTGGCGGGAGGTGTCAGTTTGGACCCTGCTCACCGCGGAACGGCGTCGCCTGCTTCAACGGTGGGACGTGTCTGCAGGAAGGGTCGTCCTATACGTGTGAATGTCCTGATAATTTCACCGGTCCAACATGTCAGATCGCGACCAGCTGCCGACCCGGGCTGTGCCAGAACGGTGGCGTCTGTTTCTCCTTCTCAGCAACATCATTCAACTGCAGCTGTCCAAACAACTACACAGGACAGTACTGCGAGAGACACGTGTGCGCTTCCTTCCCATGCGCTAACAGCGGGTTCTGCTTCCCCGATCCAAGCAATGCAAGAGGATTTGACTGCAGCTGTTTAGCTGGGTATACTGGAGACACTTGTGAAGATGAGATTAGACAGAACTGTGGATCTAACCCATGTCAAAATGGAGGGGAATGTGTTACGCGGGACTTTGTGTCGGGTTATTCGTGCTTATGTCTGGGTGGGTTTACTGGACCGAACTGCGAACGAGAGGTAAATGCCTGTTCCAGCCAGCCATGCTTAAACGGAGGAAGATGCGTATTTGATGCATCTTACATTGATCAGTACAGATGTAATTGTCCAGTAGGATTCGGAGGTAAGAACTGTCAAAACTCCGAGGCAACCTCTTGCCGGGACAACCCTTGCAGAAACGGAGGAACATGCAGATTTGATGCTTCTAGCAACATTGGCTACATATGCACCTGCACAGCTGGTTATGAAGGTGCAAACTGCGAGACCCTATTGGACCCTTGCTTGACCAACACTTGTCAAAATGGCGGAAGATGTATCCGTGATCCTTTCCAAAGGTCTGGCTACCTCTGTGTCTGTTCAGATGGATTCGGGGGAACTAACTGTCAAACCCCGATCGACTTCTGTGCATCCAATCCTTGTACTAACGGTGGAAGATGTACTTCGTCGGGTACAGTATATACATGTCAATGCACTACTGGTTTTGGTGGCATTAACTGTCAAACCCGCACCAACTTCTGTGCCCCGAATCCTTGCAGAAACGGTGCTACCTGTTCCCCATTAGGGTCCACTGGCTATATATGTCGCTGTGCATCAGGATATGGGGGTGTAAACTGCCAGACCAGGATCAACTTTTGTGCACCAAACCCTTGTAGAAACGGTGGAAACTGTATCTCATCAGGATCTGGATATTCATGTCGATGTTCTGTCGGGTACGGTGGAGTCAACTGTGAGACCATCACAGGTGCCTGTTCATCGAACCCGTGTAGTAATGGCGGAACCTGTGTTGCATCAGGATTAGGTTATTCTTGTAGGTGCAGACCTGACTTCGCGGGCACCAACTGCCAATCTCTCGCCAGTGCATGTAACCCAAATCCTTGCCAGAACGGTAACTGCGAGTATGACGTCACCCAGCTTCTCGGGTACAGCTGTCGGTGTAATGCTGGGTATCTCGGGAGAAACTGTGAAACCAGGTCAGATCCTTGTTCCAACAATCCCTGTCAGAACGGCGGCACATGCGCACCAGACCCACGCAGTGTGAATGGTTACGCATGTCAATGTTTCCAAGGCTTTGGAGGGCAAAACTGTCAGACCAGCGTTGGACCATGTTCTACAAACCCTTGTCAAAACAATGGCATCTGTGTGACCCTCTCAAACAATCTGTACTCCTGCGCATGCCCAGCGGAATTTACAGGACCTAGATGTGAAAATCCAAACAACGTATGCAGTACTGTAAATTGTCAAAATGGAGGAAGATGCGAAATCGACCCAAGCAACCCCCGCAGATTCAGATGTGTCTGCCCAAGTGAGTACAGCGGTTTACTCTGCCAGATATCAAGCATCGAGTCCTGCCAGAGTAATCCTTGTGTAAATGGCGGAGAGTGTTCATCCCTCTCCTTTGGAGGCTACATCTGCACCTGCCCTCGAGGATTTGCTGGAATCAACTGCCAGTACATGACCTCCCCCGCCTGCAGCCCCCAGCCGTGTCTAAATGGTGGCAGCTGTACCCCCTCGCCAGATTCGCCCTTCAACTTCACCTGTTCCTGCCCCTTGGGATTTGGTGGCCAATACTGCCAGATCCCTCTGAGCACTGACGGCCCCTGTAAGTCGTCTCCTTGTCGCAACCTGGGTACGTGTGTACCCATTGACAGCGTCGCCTACCGGTGTGAATGCTTGAATGGATACGTGGGAGATAGCTGCCAGATCCGGAACTTCAACTGCACTCCCAATCGGTGTCCCAATGGCATTTGCTACCTAACCCAGTTTGGAGAAGTCGATTGCATGTGTCCACCGCTGACCAAGGGTCGACGATGTGGTAGGTTGGAAATTAATGGGAATAGTGTATGAATATCGATAGGACGACTGTTCATAGTTTGTGATTTACAGATATTTACAGTGTTTTCTGTAGCCATAGCAACATGGATCACAGAGTGGGCTAAGGTGTCGTAGATTTAGTTATGTTTCCAAGATTCGAACCAATAATAATCTGGTCATCCCTGTCTCATTGGTTTTAACAAGGTGATAAGTTACATTTATATTGCTTTGGGGTTTCCTCCTATGGAACAGATAAACTTAAATACGGTTAGACCTGCAAAACATTAATTTAGTTATGTCTGCAAATCATCAAAAGGATACGTTGAGGTTTAAGGAGACATAATTTCCAGTTTGACTGACACCGAGAACGAGATTTTTAGGTAACCGCCTGAACCTAAACCTAAAATTTTGAATGTGAAGTAAGCAGCGTCATTGGTTTTCCTAACCAACACATGTTATTCTTTTTTTTCAGAGCAAGTCGATTTCAAGTGCCCGCGCGGTGCGGGAGGTGAATTTCCACACCCGTGGGACTGCAGCCTGTGGATTCATTGCGACTGGGGACGTGCATGGGTCAAGGATTGTCCAGCCGACCTTCACTTCAGTAGGATCACTCATACCTGTGACTTCTGGGACCGGGCGGGCTGTGCCGTCAAGCCAAGCAGATACTGGTTATTCTAGTCGACACCAGTCAGAACCAGTTCTCAATGAGCCATCATTCAATCTTTCGTTTTCAAAATATGTTTCATGGTTTTCTTCTAAAATGAAACACCAGCTAATTATCGTCGATTATGTACAGCACTACACACCTACTTATTCAAACGATTGTGATAAATGTGTTTTATTGAATTATGCAGCGATTTCAAGTAAAAGAGTTTGAACATTTTGAAAGATCGATGGTGAAGCGTCATGACATTTCCAGCAGTACATATAAATGAAATACTGATGATTTCATTCAGCTTCTGTCATTAAGGGGTATAAGGCTACATCCTAGGTAGCAAATAGTTGGGCTACGCTATACTATCCAATACATATAGCAATGACCACAGAGCTTAAATATCTAGAAATGGTCAGTATGTCATTTATCGGAGGCATGATCAGCGGCCCCTCAGAATGTTATTGTCTTTCATATAGTTGCATTCCAGCGTACCTTGTAAGTGAGGGAACTTAGGGGCGGTTCTAGCTCACTATTCCTGGTGATAATATTTTTCTACTTTTATGTGACTTTCATATTCAAATGTATGCTTTGATATATGTATATATACATGTTGTCACTTACTTTGTTACCATAAGGTTCTGAGATACCTTTGATTCTTGAAATTTTTCACGATTTGGTTTAGATTGCCGTTTCGAATGGATTCTAAAATTAGTTTTTTTAACACCTTTCAGTTGTACATCGTCGCTTCCTGACTTACACGTCATTTCCTCAATAATCGTATCATACTTTGCATAATCCATGTAAACTCTCATTGCATAGCACTAATATTGTTGTATCTGAAGTTGTTTGTCACGTTTGTGTTATTGTGTTCATTTCCAGTTTTCAAATGTATGTGTTTCATTAATGTTCACCATGTAAACACTATATGAAGTCAGTTCCCTGTTAGGATATCAACAAAGACTGCTGAGTGTGTAAATTAGGCTGAGTCAAGTTTGTTAAGAGGTAGCACCAGTGTGCGAAATAGCCACTGGTCCGCTAGCCCGTGGCTAGTACAAATCCAGTCGGGCCAGTAAATTTCCTCAGTCACTGGCCCGACTGGCTAGTGAATTTTCATGGGGTCATTTTGTAAATATATCACTCTCTCCGACTTGTTTAGTTATTATACACTTGTAAATCATGCACGATTATGGCCTGATAAAAATGTTCATCATATTAGCAGCTTAATGATGAAATCCGAGTCTACTTTCAAATTTCGGGCCAGTGAATTATTTTGTGGGCTAGTAACATTACGGCAAAGCTAGCCCAACTGGCAAACATCTTTTGGAAACTATTTCGCACACTGGGTAGCACACAGACCAAAGCGTTCACTTATTTTACCGTTGGTTTAGGTTCTTGTGGAACGTGTTCGATGTATCCAGTTGTCTGGTAATGATGCTAAAGAGAAGCAATCCAAGACGAACTCAAGCAAGGCAACTTAATACCATGGCTAGCTGAATAATTTCTTACAAAATATCAAGTATTAAGGGCGTGGTTGGGTAGACTGGTCAAAGCGTTCGTTCGTCGCCCGGGTTGGATTTATGTCGTAAAATATGGGCGATTCAATTCACATTGCCCCCTGCTTGGTGGCTCACTACTACAAGTAGTTGGGTCAAGCTCACCCGAAACAGCCATGTCCGACAACCTCATTCTAACTACAGAACACAGGAACACAAAGAAACCAATAATTTGATTCCGTTGTGATCACAGTTCGTTATATGCATTTCGACTCAAATATATAGCAAGTGACAGGGACCGCAAAAACAGTTCTTTATATCTGTCTGGTGGGGTAGCCTAGTGGTTAAAGCGTTCGCTCGTCACGCCGAAGCCCCGGTTCGATTCCCCACATGGGTACAATGTGTGAAGCCCATTTCTGGTGTCCCCTGTCGTGATACTGATGTAACATTGCTAAGAGCAACGTAAAACTAAACTCACTCACTCACTTTATGTGCGTCAGTCCGACAAAAGCGTGTTCGCAACAAACGTACTTTACTGTATACTCGACTATAAGTCTATTTCTTTTCTGCGTGTTGTTTACTGGTGAATCGCCTTGATCCAAATTATATAACACACTCTCTACCTTTCTCTCCATCCTATCGAAAGTCCCTTTTAATTATTTCGGGTATATAGGATACAACAATTGTTGTCATTTTGATATATGCCCGAGTTTTCACGTATCATCACGTGTATATCTTGCTGTTAACTGAAATGTGTTAAAGTTCCATGTGTTGTGTACTGCAGTGTCTGTTCAGATGAAATGTAAATAAACTGAATTTCAAGACAAAATCTTTACAATGAAATTATTGTCAAACCGTGTTTGTATGATTCCTAATGTAAATGTTATGTTAATAAAAGGTTTTATACTTATCGGTTACTATAGTTACCTATTGTTCTGTATGCCGTTTTTAACTGGAATATCTTTGAAAGAGTGTCATTGAGGCATACTAAAAGGTTAGAAGACGCCATGTTGAGAGAACGTTACAGGCGCGTTCTCCCTGCACTCGACAGGAGCACAGCATCCTCATCAAAGATGTCTGACACAACAATTAACAAATTTAGTACACCATGGCTCAACACTTGCTTCCGATACCCGTCTTCACTAACCCATGCTTGTCATAAGAGGTGACTAACGGGATCGGGTAGTCAAGCTCGCTGACTTGGTTGACACATGTCATCGGTTCCCAAATGATGTTGATCACTGGATTGTCTGGGCCAGACTAGATTATTTACATACCGCCGCCATATAGCTGGGATATTGCTGAGTGCGGCGTTAAGCAACAATCCAAACCAAAACCAAAGCTTACCCCCGAGCTGTTCATAAAATGGCGTCTCGCACCCATTCTCCACCAAGTGGGACGGTTTTAGGTTTTGTCTTTCCAATGACGATATTGTAAATATCCAAAGATTAAAAGATGCAATTGCACTGTTATACTACACTTAGGTTTGGTTTGAGCTGAAACAACATTACTTTAATCACAAATAAACACAAAAGTCTAAGTTATCTGACCTTAAAATGCCCAAATTTGGCATTTTCTGGTTTCCACTTCCTAAGTCACACATATAGCGCTGCTCTGTTCTCTTACCTACGCCAGGTAGTGTGCAAAAACATTCTCCATTTGCAACATATATATAAGTCTGTCAATACATAACAAAGTTCAGTTAAATTCAAAACAATATTTGTTGTTAATATGTATGAAATAAATTTCCAACAAATTAACATCAGATACGTTAAGCAGTATTGCAGACATAGTGAAAGTATTAGAATGTACCCCCCTAACAGTATAAGTGTACAAGGTGATCGGGCTAATCATGAAAGTCAAAGCAACTGAAATCTGTTTCCAATTTGCTACTTTCACTTTGTTGTGGTAATTGCAAACGCAAACGATTAAAGGCATGTGACATTCAATTTTCATCAGATACGTTAAAAAACGAATAAACTTTTATTTTTGTACTATTTTAACCATTACATATGAAAGACTTCTGGTTAATTCATTCTTTAAAAAACTTGTGGTTAATTAATAGGTTTAGTCCCGATTTTGACAGTCCCAATTTTGACAGTGAAATTTCACACTTCTGTAATTGGGGCGGTGGAGTAGCCTGGTGGTTAAAGCGTTCGCTCGTCACGCCGAAGACCCACGTTCGATTCCCCACATGGGTACAATGTGTGAAGCCCATTTTTCTGGTGTCCCCCGCCGTGATATTGCTGGAATATTGCTAAAAGCGGCGTAAAACCCAACTCACTCACTCACTAACTCCTGTAATTGATCTAGCCAGTTGTCCCAATTTTGACAGTGAGCGTACCGGACGGTATGTGGCACTGGCCTTGTCCGGAAGAGGACAGAACAGCTCAGGAAAAGTACCATATAACTTATCATGGGAGTGGATGATATATACTTGATAAAATATTTTGGGACAAATCTTGAAAGTGCCATCCATTGACACAGTATCACTTTGACACAATCAGGATAAACTAGAGAGAGTTCCAGAAACAATGATCCTACTACCGCTGTTGTCATCTACCAGTAGGAAGTCTTCTCCTTGGTCTGTTGTAGCCCATTCTCCATCAGGCTGTGGTTCTTGGGCGTCTGTTGTGCCCTTAAACCTACAATGGTCTTAAGTGCACAGAAATAACAGGCGTCTTTTGGAGTACGAGGGGCCTTCTTGGTTCTTTGTCTGTACAGACTTGACTTGATATTACTGGTATGGATATAAGAACCAAAAGAGCTGTACTTCTCTCAGTTGATTGCATTCACTTAATTACCCTTAATTGGTACAGCTAGTTATCCCAGTTTTGACAGCGAAACTTCACACCTTACGGATCAGCGACCAAGACTATGATTACACATCATTTTGACAGCGACCAAGACGCTGTCAAAAATGGGACACTACCCATTTAACCTCTCGTTACAAAGCAATAAATTTATTCTTGGTCCGAGATTCTCAGAGATGTGCTGCAGCAGAGACCATGTACCAAAGACCGATCACTGACGCGCGAGGCCAAGCGGGACTTTCACGCGAGTTCGTTCTTTGGTGCCGACAATGGCCTGTATCCGATTTTAGTACTTATATAAGGCATTGAAGTCCATCGTAGTATGAAAACTATTTATTAGATTTGAATGCTGCACTATATGAGGACTAGTCCCAGCATATAGCACAAAAGCTGAAAAAAAAAGTTAGTCTGAATTGTGGTCACGTTACCTCAGACTGACAGGAAAATGACGGCGCAAAACAAACATTTTAGGTTCAACCGTGTTTAGTTGCGGACTAAACAAACATTTGTTATTTAAAACTAGCAATAACTATAAAACATATGTTTAGTTCAAGATATTCAAAGCTGAACGATAATTTCTTAATGAAGGTTTAGCGGGAAATTGTTTTGCCCTGTTTCTACATGCCCAAAGTTGTGGCAGAGCACAATCATCTGGGAACCAACGTGATTCCCAAACACACGGCTGTACCGTCGCTTAAAACAATTAAACAACTATCGTCCTTTGTGGCAAAATATTTCCCATTACTAAAACTACTTTCACATATACTCTTAAAAAAAGTAGGGGAACTTCATTTTTAATTTACGACTGAAAAAAATGGGAGATATATCAATGTTGATAATGAATGTTTTGAGAGTGCATCACCACTTGCACCTAATGACCATAGTTGTTTGTACAGTAATCCCTCTAGAAAGATGATTGGTGTATGACGTGAAATTTGCTTGTGTATGATTGAGAAATGGTAATATGGAGAAATGGTGGTGCGTTCATAAGATGTCTGTCTTTGAAAAGTTTGTTAATGCTTATAATTCCTATCCAAATTGAAAGTTCAGGTTCCCCTACCTTTTTGAAGAGTATATAATTGAATACAGTGTCAGAAATACACACTGTGTCGATATTGACGCATTTTGTATAGGACTGGCTGAGCACTTACAGAGGTGAAACAGTAGACCAGCTCAATCGAGTGAGGAGATAAGCAGGTACATTTGCCTGTGCTGTCCGGGATTCGAGTCAGCTAAACTGTAACGATATGTAACACATATAATATATGTTATCAACGACTTAAGGGCCAAGATGTTGGCTGCAGCTGATAACATGACAGAAGTCTAGATAACAGCCAGGTGAATGAAGAGGAGTATTGTCCCATGGCCTTGACCTTGTGATAACATTCAGTCTGTCAGAACGAGATGACGTATATGTCCTACCCCCTGACTAATTGAGAGATATACATGACTAATTGAGGGAAATACAAGGAGCTGTCCAAAACATATACACACAGCTTCCGACCCCAAGGGAAAAAGACTTCGGATGAAGGGGTCCAATGACTGCCGATCCCGGCCGGTTCGTGAAGCTCCCGTTGAAGCCAACGCATAGTTAAACATTCCCATTTGCAGAAAAGTCACTAAAACGATGTGTTCATACCTGTTTGTGTGAACATTAACGCCTTTTTTGGTTTTTAATTTCCACATGAACCCCGTTTTGTCGTGAGAGCAGGACACGGGTAATAACAGTGTGAGTCTCAAGCCAAATGCGTGAGAGTTGGCAGGTATGTGCACATATTCCGAAACTGATTCAGTCCCAAGCATTCAACTTGTCAGTGTCCACTGAAACAGGGATGGGATGGCTCCTCTGTTTGACCAGTTTGTATCAAGTACCCAATAGGGCCTGGGTCGTTGCTGTTCCGCCAAACCCTGGTTAGATTGGATTATCTTCAGAGGTATTGCTAGAACATAGGTGACTGTGGTTTTCAACAGCATTCTAGCTCTCTACCACTAGACAAACAGACAGACAGACAGATTGTTTATTTCGAAGTCTCACCTCATATATTGTACATTTAAAAACATCGTACAAAGAAAAACTAGTATATGAAATGAGCAATCCCTTATGGGATTATAAGAGACTATTTACAAATATAAAATATACGAAATATAAAAGGAAATTTACAAATATTAAACTAATGATAACGGTGAACGCACCGTTCCCTTAACATATCAAAATAGGTAGTGTCACGAGTGTCAACACTAAAACAATAGCTGTATCTGTTACATTAGCCTATTATCGTTATTCTCCGTCACTACCAATAGTTCAGAGATCGATCCTCAACAGGTCAATGGTTTACATTACCATTATAACATGATTACCCTTACACCTGACTCACCCCCAGTATGAACGCATGTTATTCTTTTCGGAAAATGGTATTTCCAAGGCCCATTATATAAATGCAGCTATAACCTAAACTCAGTAAAACGATGGCCTACATTGACAGAGTGAAGATAGCTGTAACGAAACACGATAACCTGAAGTGAATGCATTGTGTGTAACCCTAAATAAGGCTAGGAGAAATAGAATCATGGTGTTGTTGGAGGTAATGTGGCCATGCGGTGGTAGACATCTTTGGTCATGTACAAATAGACATTTTAGAAATAAGGGCTAACTAAATTGACCAGATTAAAAGAGCAAACAACTAGTCCAACTTGATTTTCATTTATTCAGTGAATACGCTAATAGGGACCATATCTCGACCTGTGGAGGTTAAAGAAATATGGGTGATTCGCGGCATCGTATACACCTTTTACGTTCTCTTCTTTCAGTTAGTCTGTTTTCCCAAAACTGTATGCAGGATTCACGTGAAGTTCTAGTCTACTGGCACCCGAGTCACTTTAAACAGTTTGTTTATTGTCGCAATCAGAAATATTCCAGCTGTATTAAGATGGTCGGTAAAAACAATCCAGTGATTGACATCTTGAACATTGATAGATGCAATTTGATACGATGACATCCCAAGACCAGAGACCATATTATAATCTATTGTATGTCTCTGCCAAGACCATGTCACCAGGCCTGACCAACCGGTCCCTCTTGTTTGGGAGACAAGAATGGGTTCCTGAAGAAGAATTCTAACCGGATCTTTAGGGCTCACTTTAAAAGGTATTTCAGTCAAGCTCGCATACAACGTTTGTGAAAAGAAGAGAAGCCCCCTGTGAACACAATAGACGAATGCAAACTATCCACGAAACAATTGACGTTGGAGAGGCAAGTTATTTTATTGAAAGAACATCTCTAACTGATTCTGTTATAGTGTTGTAAGACCTTTGCATTTATACCTACACACATTCACCAGACATTTGCAAAATGTAAAAATGTTTCGTAAGTTAAAGAAAATGTTGATACGTACCCGGGATCAGCTTATAAATATGTCCCACCACAGGGTGTTAACTTCATGTTGGACGAAACCCGTGCTACAGGTTTGGTGCTGAGCAGAGGCCGTATATTGTCTCTGGTGCTGAGTAACCAAGGGCTAGAGACCGGCTGTTTCCGGATTCGAACTCAGGACCAGTGGTTGGCCAGGATCTGCTGACACATTTGACACCTGTCAGAGAGGTGTTTGTGGTATGAGTAGGACCGAGGTCATGTCACTATTAACTGTATGCCCAAACAATCAGTAATCGAGGATGTTGTGTCATGAAAGATTGTGTGTACCTGTGATTGACACGACTATGCCCGCTTTGATGAGCAGATATATGTATCCATGCACCTCAGTTACATATATAATCGCATCTTTGTTTACCTCGTTGTGGCTGAGCGTTAATTTTGTATTCGGAAAAAATGTGGCCCTGGCCTATTTCTCAGCAGCGTGTTAATCCTGACTCACTTTGCAAATACTCATCCGTCACATTTTAAAACATCTGTTTAGAAATTATATATCAACCGAAGAGATATCTTGGCAAATACAAGCAGGCGAAGAAAATGGAAGAACAATTTCGCAAGAATGTTTGATGCGAACATGTGTTGACTCTAACTGTAAACTTCAAGTTGTTGCTTAAGACTTAAGTTACACAAAGGGACAGAGTTGTCTCCCTTTACGTGTCCACCCTTGTCGTTGTGACACACAAACTTGTTGTAAACGTGTTTATAGTATCGCTGTCAGGCTAAAAACGTCTTATTTTAAACGACGGTGTGTTATATAAATATACAAATATACTTTTACCAATGACTCACATTTACGACAACCACAATTGAAAAAAGTTTATTCACGTGACACAAACAGTGTCTGCTATTATCTGTGACAACACAGTTTCGGGACAGTTCATCATTGTTCAAGGTCCGTGCTTCTTAACTGGGCATATCACTCATCCGGGATGGTAAGTTACGATCTCATTAGTATATTTTTACCACACTATCTACAACTTTTTGCGGATGTGGTATTGTAGGACGATAATCTTTCGTCCACCACTCGTCGCTCAAAAACTTTTAGCGTATAATCTGAAGTACCCTAGAAGTAGGGACATGTCTTGACTGTATAGGACCGCATCGCGGCTCTCGGCTAGAAGTACCCGTGCCCACAACCTCACCGCCAGTCTGCTCTCGATTCAACAGTAAATATTGCTAAATATTTATAATGTTGTAGTATGGTCATTCTCCTCCTTTACTATCTTTATAGGTCGTAAATGAGATATTGCTGGACATTAACCCCCAGTGATGTCTTGCTATTATCCTATTAGTTAGGTTAACATTTTCCACAACTGTATTTCTCACTGGCTTCATAGATTTCAGGTAGATAATGGGAGCAGTTAGAGTCATACTGGATATCAGTTTTCTGTTTCATCTCAGTTGTTTCGTGATGCTAATTGTTTAGGTGACAGCTATGGGATGGTCATAAGTGTTCATTTTATGACACTTTAGGAAGTCACAAGTTGGATTCATTCAGGTAATGGCTCAGGTGCATCGGAGACAATCAACTTTCATTTTGAACAGCATCATTTGATGATGTACATGTGCTTATCAGGTATCTATTTCAATTCATTCAGTTTGGGTAGCACAGAAACATTTATCTGAGCTGTCAGGATATGAGTAGTTGGTCAAGTGTGGACCTGAGACCTTATAGGATATTGTATTCTCTTATACTAGCAGTGACTATATCATGTATATTGGGTGAGTTGGTAAACATGTCCAAATATACCCAGAGTTTGAAAGAGTGTCAGCTCACATAAGGAACTAGGTAATGGAGTTCGTAATAGAGAAATATATCTTGAATGTTTTTATTCTACATCTGGAATCATGTGCAAATTCATGTGGCATTACTTTGACATAGTTATGGTTGATAAATATTCTCTCTCTCTCTGCTGATTGATTGATCTTCTTTGATTGATAAGCTGGTAATTTATAAACTGCACTCCCACTTATTGCAGATGAAGAATTGTCACTGCCTAAGTGTAATCCCAAATATAGCATCTCTTGAAGGATTGTTTAATTGGTCATATGGAATATATATGTACTAAAATGCAGTACATTAGTTGTCGCCCATGCTAATACTACTGTTGTATTTACAGGCTCAAATATCAGATAGACAACATTGATACGCATCTGTAACAGCCTACTTGATCTGCATTCACGATGGAAGATGACTTGAGGAAACCTCTTCTCAGATCGGCCAGCATAAATGATGGGGAGGAGGTCATTTCCAGCTACTCCTCCATCAATGCAGTGGAAGCTGATGAAGAAGATGCAACACCAAAATTTAATAACATTCTTGGCTCCAATGCAGATATCAAACCAAATGAAGAAGTGACAATTAATAGTGAACTGAAAACCAAACTTTACAAGAGACGATGGTATATACTGGTTATATATTCACTGTTTGCGGGCTCTCAAGGTTTAGTATGGAATACATGGGGCCCAATTTCAGCGTCTTGTGAGGAAGCCTTCGGATGGAATAATGCTGACATCTCCTTGTTAACGAACTGGGGACCAATTTCCTATATTGTGTCTGCAGTATTTTTCTCATGGATGATTGATGTCAAAGGTATGATGAACTTTTTGGTTCTCCTATTTGACAAGCTGTACAAGTTTCTATGTCTAGGTTTGTCAGTGTGTCTTCTTCCCTTTTATCATGTTTATTCAGTCTTCATTCCATTTCAATTACCATGTCAGGTCTTCCTGCAGTGTGATTATTTATCACTTAATCATGTTAATGTTTTTTGCAGAGTTGTATTCCTTATGTGTGGCAGAATCATGATTATCATTATTATTGTTTCACTTCCCAGATTTGCACTGATAATGATTCTAGGTTTTCAGTTCCAAAGTCATGGGTTTCACATAAGGTGTTAAATATGTAAGATCTACATCACTTCAAAACTTTCCATACTCATCACACATAAATGGAAATATCTATCTGCATGTGTTAAACAAAGGGACCTGAAAGTGTATTTTCTCATTGCAGTTATGTTTGATATATATCAAAACATTCTCCTTATCATCTTTATCACATGTAGAGGTTTCTTTATAACGCTTTTGAAAACATTTTCAGTAGCTAAAGATGTTGACGAGTCTGATACTACCCATATTCTTGTCAACTGAAAAACTGTACATGGGTCATTTAACATGTATTTTGTATGTATAAGATAACTGTATTTGTATTGTAAGTACAAATATTTAAAATATATTAGAAATAAGACCAAGAGAAATGTATTTTTCCTGAAACATCAAGCTACAGGCATCATAGCCATCAAGTACAGGTTTCTGTTACTGTTAGCATTTTGAGCATGATTGAAATAGAAAACAAATCATCTTCACAGTGCAGTGGATACATAATATGCCCAGAGAGTGGAAATTCTTAGTTCGATCATCAGGCAAGCATGTTATCAAAAGACATTCTAGGTACCCTGCCTGGCACTAAGGCACTGAACATTATGTGAATAAAACAAGGACTGGACACCTGAATCAGTATAATGTGTCTGAGTAGGGTATCAATTTGAAACTGCAGTGTGTTATATCACAATGAAACCTGCATTATTATAAGACTGAGACAATCAGCCATTTGACATGTTCCACACACGTTGCTGCTGGTGACGTTAAACCCCGTGCTACCTCAACCTTATGGTGTTGTTTTGTGTTGCAGGTCTGCGTTGGGCGTGCTTGTCCAGCATGTTCCTGGTGGCAGCTGGCTGTGGACTCCGTTGTTTCACCTCCACACCCCCACTGGTCACTTGGTAAGATCAGCCATATTTGCATATATTTGTTATACATATACATTTAGTTTCGGCCTTTTCAATCTTATACATGTTTGTGCGTACATTCAGTATTACATATTTATGCAAGGGAATTCCCAGAGCTTTCATATATTCATGGAAGGGAATTCCCAGGGCTTTCCGTTATTAATTGAAGGGAATTCCCATGCCTGTGCCCAGGTTGTTGAAGTAGTCTGTCAGTCTGTGCATCACTTCTAGGTAACAGTTTGGGAACTTCCTATGATCTTTTCCTTCCTAGGAGCATGAAGTTGTGTCATCAATGTGCATATGAACATGTTTCATAGTATTAGTAATGGTACTCACATCTTGTTCAATGAAATAGATGAAATCATGTATTCCATGTAGACTTCACATAAACAGTTTTCTTCATGTTATCACGGTTACATGTGTACAAGGTACATTCACTACTTTAGAAACCTTATAAGTTATGCCTGGAATGTACAGTATAAACCTTGTCTACAGCATAGAGATGTGATGTCCTTTCACCACCCTTTCAAACTGTGGTCAGGTGGTAGGACAGAAAAGCCAAGGGAAGTAATCCTGTTAAAACTTCAGCAAAGTTTCAGATTGGTTCATTGTCTTGAACACTGAATGATATCTATCAACATGCTGATTATTATCCCCCACCGTGCGTTTAGCGTGAAGCAGGGGATATAGTATTAGCCTCCGTCCGTACGTCTGTAAGTACGAATTGGAATATCATAGGAACCGTTGACCAGATTCTTTTCCTATTTAGTACCTAGGTTCATCACAGTATAAGAAAGGTCTCAGTCAGGTTTGGTGACCTTGACCTTCATTTCAAGGTCACAAAGGGACTTAACTTTTTAGCCTTGTCAGCGAGATATCTCAAGAACCGTTCACTGGATTTTCATGTTCAACACCAAGCTTAACCTAGGGAAGGCGCAGGGCCCAGTCGATTTTGGTCACCTTCACTTAATTTTGAAGGTCATGGCGACACTTTGAATATTTCAGCATGTTAACCTGCATGTAAAGATTGTCAGCGAGATATCTCAAGAACAGTTCACTGGATTTTCTCCGTAGACTTTCAAGATTTCCCTTGAATGTTTTTCAATAAGCAATTATTACTATTTTTGCATATTTCATACACCAAGACATTCATGTCAAGGTCATGGTCAGTCTTGACAATATTTGTGCGTTTGAACAACTACAGAACAAGATATCAAGAGAGGTTGACTGGTCATGTTTTTGTTGACATTTAACTTCATCTTAAATTATGACCTTCACTTTCATTACTTTTTAAGTTTGATTTCATAATTCGTGGCGGGGAATATGTCACCTTAGTGACAATGCTTGTTTATTCACATGTGGTAATGATATAAAGGAATTTGCAGTTGGTGAATTCATCTTAAAGTCCCATGTCATTTGTGTCGAGCAACATCACATATTTTGAGTAATAATGGCAATATAGGTGTCTTGCCTTCGACAATGAGACATTGTAACATACACTCTCAGGGATTGGGAAAGGCAGGGGTCATGGGCCATTTTGCACATTAGAATAAATAATGGTCCATTAAAATTTTGAAGTTTACTATTGATACAAGAGTAGTACGTGGCCCATTCTAAATTCCGAAAATGGCTAATAATTCCGAAAATGGCCCATTGTCAAAGTTCTCTATCCCAATCCCTGCACTCCACCCAGTAACAGTTAGCTGGAAATATGTCTATTTTCAGATTGTTAAATATTGGTCGATTTGATAAATGTGTATAAGCAGGATGTAACTTGTAAGGATGTTGTAACATGAATATTCATTCTTTCAGTTTCAGCCATAAACATATTTCCATTTTCCTTGCTTGGCTAATGATATGTGACTTTTTAAATCAATTACTATCACTGCTTCGGGCAACAGTGTCTGTTGTATATTACAGGTTAGTCCATACTGGTCAGTTTCTAAATGGCCTGGGCGGGCCAGTTGCCATGGGAGGGCCCCCTGCCCTCTCAGCCCATTGGTTTGCCCCCAATGAGCGGACAACTGCCACCGCTGTGGGTGCTGTGCTGAATAGCATGGGTGTAGCGGTGTCATTTATTGTGGGTCTGTGTCCAACAGGACTATCGCAACTAGAAGTGGAAGCATTCCTGAATTCCAGGGCTACATGTTGTAGCTCTGGGTCACGCAATGTAACCATGGCAACAGAGACTGGGGTAGTGCCTTACATAGATCATTTCAGTCAATTTCAATCTTGTATATTTATATCATACACCTCTGTGTGAAGGTCTAACAACCTCTCACTCAGCTAGTGTTTGAGTCCAGTAAACTTCCTTATCAGGAAATCAAGGTTTCTAAATTCGCAGAACCATCAAACAAAATATTTAGTGTAGCATATCTGATTTCTGTATCTCTCATAATTCCAAATGCAAAATTATAAGAAGTGTGTTATATTATTGTGGATGTGTACAATCTTGTGTCATAGTATCGACTCCGAAAGGAGTGCCAAGAATGTTTTGGCTCTGGGTGGGTTTTCTGTAGAAAAACTGAAGTAAATTATTTAAGTCAACTGACAAGTGATTGGTTAACGAACCAAAGCATCCTTCACTAATATTAGGTAGTTAAAGTATACTCTGACATCATGTCCTGCAAACTTATGTTGGTTGTTGTAGGATCTCAAGGTGATGTAGTATTGTATTGGAGTCAAAGATTGACATCATTTACCTAGTCTGGCTGCCGATCTGTCCATGGTTACCATCGTGATCAGAGCTACACACATACAGCTGCTCCCCTTCCCCAACCCTGAGCTACCTCACGTGTGGTCCACGTTTCCTGCAGCACTGCAATATGGCTTTCTCCAAAATACAAATTCGACATATTTTGTGCCTTTTTAAAAATAATAATCATGATGAGTGTGTAAATGATTTTGATAATGTTGTTTCATTTTGGTTAAATCACTAAATTGTGATCCAAATTTCCTGCTTTACATGATTCTACTGACCTCAGGTACTTTCTGACATAGTCATGTGTTCCCTTCTACACCATTCTACCAAAGATAAACAGAAACACATTTAACAGTTTGTTAAGGAAACAAAAATATATGTGTCTAAAGGTTCAGATCAATTTCTAATAATTAAATTTGTTAAGATTATTTTGCTAAAGGTGGACAATGAGAAAGCCGAAGATTCAGTTTTATCATTTAGTAGATCAGCATATGCCATATTTGGGCTAATATTGATTATCTTATTGGGTACATGAGTAGTTGGTATTTTACATGATCTCTGTTACACAATAACTAATCTTATTATTTATTGATATGTCAGTGATACCATGACTTTGAGTGATGTATTGATGCCACAATGTGCTATCAATGATGCCAGATGCAGACGAATTGCATTATAAACAAATTTCATAAGTATGATATTGATATTGTGAACAAAATATCTGACATATGAACATGAAAAAATCCTTTCACAGCTACAAATATTTATTGAGCTTCTGTCTGTTGCTGATCACCATGAATATGTAGCGTCACACATGAGCAATTTGTTCCTATATATTGTCAGTATAGTGACATTTTAGACTTTATTGATTTTATTTTTCTTTTCAGTAATTTAGCTCTGCGCAAGCTGTTCATTATGAATTAATTATTTGTTTTATAAATTCAGGAAAACATTTATTTGTTGGCAACTGATTATGTCAACCCTTCCACACTCACAAACATGTGTATGTATTTGGAAGTGCTTGATGTTTTTTCATTTCAGAAGATCTTTAGAATGTTAATTTTACAATGCATTTTTGTAAAATTTAGCAATGCATTTATGTAAGTTAGGGCATCAGAACTTCTTCCTATTCAGCGTCTTCCTGTTTAAAGGTCTGTTAGTGTTAGTCGTCACACAAACACCTTTTAATGGATGTGTATGATAATGTAGCCGAGGAGTTCTAGCATTTGATCATCGTGTCAAACTAAAGAGATGCGTTGATTCTCTAGATAGGTACTGTCAAGCCCATTTATGTTGCCTGCGTCTGCGGTATTGCAGTATATTGCTAAATGCAGTCCGTTCACTCCGTATACTCCAGATGCTGGTCATTCATCATGTTCACTGGTGGTTGATTTTCGGTCCATTTTCGGTCTTATTGAACTGACATGAAACAATGATTATATTTCAGGTTAAATCATTTTGGCCTTTTCCTGAATGGGCTGGGAGGGCCTGTGGCTATGAGTGGGCCACCAGTTGTGTCAGCATTGTGGTTTGCCCCACATGAGCGAACCACTAGCACAGCCACTTGCTTTGCATGCAGTGTGGCCTTGCAAGCAGTCAGTTACATCATTGGTATGGCAAGAAAGTGGACTTGGTGTTCAAGGGACTTGTCTAGGTGCTCATTTTGCAAATGTTGGTAAACCTTTAAGAATTGGAATTAATTGTTTTCCAGATTAGGTTTACATCTGCATAATGCAAGTCATTAATAAGGCAATGACAGTACATGTATACTCTTCAAAAAAAGTAGGGGAACCTGAACTTTCAATTTGGATAGGAAGTATAAGCGTTAACAAACTTTTCAAAGACAGACATCTTATGAACGCACCACCATTTCTCTTTATCACCACCCCTAAACACAATGCATGGGATGCACATACAAACAACTATGGTCATTAGGTGCAAGTGGTGATGCACTCTCAAAACATTCATTATTATCATATCAACATTGAGTGACTCTGATATATCAATATATAGTAAATTAAAATTGAAGTTCCCCTACTTTTTTTAAAAGTATATAGATTTACCTTTTTGCATTAAACAGGGATTATAAGAAAGACTCGTTCTTTTTCAAATTGTATTTTTGTCACAAATTGCCTGTCATGGGCCATGTTTGAAAATCCTAGATAAGTCCATGTACCTATTTCTTTGTTTCTACAAACATTTTTTTGGCACCTACTTCTGTTGTCTCCTATCGGTACTGAAGCTACATGTTGCACTCTTTTTCTATCAGTTTCCAAAATTACCTTTAACACAAGTAAAGAAAACTCTCAAATATTAACACTTTCTCACCTGGAATTACCCATACATGTTGTCAAAGACCAACTCTGAATTTAGAAATCAAAACATGTCTTAAGGCCAGACCAATTTTATTTCTTGTTTTATGGACTTTTGTCCTCCGAAAACCTTAAGGCAGGAGGAAAAAAATATATAGATAAAATCACCAAAGTAATATTCCTTCTATATGCTCAAAGTATTTTACTTTTGGCAATTTATGAAGTGTATATAGGGCGAAAAAAAACATCTAAAAACATTTCTTGTAAGTTTACATTTTTGGCCCATAAAAACATTAGGATTTATTTTTTGGGCGGGGAAAATTAATTATTTTTATTTTTTGTTATTCTTGAAAAAATACGACAGGCTGATCCGTAAAACAAGAAATAAAATTGGTCTGGCCTAATGAAATTTTGGAAAAGCTGAAAATGGTACTCACATACCATACAAATGGGGATGTATGTTTCAGCCAGTCTAACATTCCTTACAACCCTTTTCCTTTGTGTACATCAGGGACATTAATGATATGAAGGATATTTAACCATTTATTAATGTATCAATGATATTATAGAGATCCATGCAACATGTATTTGTATTTTGTAACAAAATCTCTCTACAAGAGATCATATGGGATTTATATTATATTTTATTAACAAGGCTTCTGTTAAGCTAACCAAGCTTGCGAATTGCTAAACAAGATGAATACATTAGTGATCTGTATCATAGTGTTTTGAAGTGGTACCAAGTTCATAAGCATAAATTATTTTTACGAATCAATATTACTCTGGTATCAGCGAGTGGTAGTGGCCATGCAGTACCGTCCCAACATATCTAATCCCGTCTGTTTTTAACAATAGGAAATCGAGTCAGGTAAAATGGACTGTGGAAGAAGGGAAGAAACAGTAACTTAAGCAAAGAGGTATATGTGTGAAAATATGTTAAAACTTTATAACATGTGTTTTATGGAGTTTTGTCAAGTGTGTTACGTGTATTTGGCAAACCAGTCTGTACTAGTTTGTTGAACTATTGATATTGTTGGTTTCCCCGGGATGAAAATATAAAAACCTTACCTGGTCATCTGTCACTTGCTACACAATTCACCTGACGAAGAGGCAAGGCATAGCCCAGAAACGTTGTGACATAATAGAAGAAGTTGTCCCCCATAATATTTGCATTTTACTTGAACACCAACTTCTAAATGCCTCTCAAGAACCTCATCTGTCACTTGGTTTGGGGAAAACGAAAATGTTTTAGGATGACTTGAAATGAAGTTTTATTGAAGCAAATTTTGACAATTTCATCAATTTAGTTTCTCATAGCTAAATATAACTGAGATCATAAGATTGTTAATGATGAAAGTGATATAATGCAATCACACAACATCCACTCGTACTGGATTGGCATGTGGACATCTGTTTGTGAGTGTTGGTAGTGTATTGGATTATCTTACAAAACAAAACCACGAGAACTTTCCCATTATGAAAGTTGCACAGATTGACACTTTGTTTAGGTACACTCAAGTGCCAATTCTTATACAGCCATGGTAAGTAGGCTGTTCAGGAGTAGTGGGCTTCCGCAGAAGATTGGATTGGATTCGTCACAGTGGACAATCCAGACATATGTTTCAGGCATACTGAGTCTCCATGGTCACATGCTGGGGGTAATGTTAGAAGTGTTTTACACTGTTTCAGGCTTAGCCATCTAGGGCAGTTTCTGAATGGGCTTGCAGGACCTATAGCTATGGCAGGACCCCCAGTGTTGTCTGCTGTGTGGTTTGGACCTCATGAGAGAGCAACCAGCACTGCCCTTGCATTCTCTATTACAAATGTCCTGCTGGGCTCTGGCTTCTTCCTAGGTATGTGAGACTGCATATACCAGCGATCATATACCGATATATGCCGTAGTTGCCAAGACAATAGATTTCAGGAGTTGAGACTCAAGTTCAGATGGCAGCATCTTGACACTTCTTTGGTGTATGCATGCACATAGTTTAGACATGATATTGAAGTATCGATGTGCTGTTAGTATTGTGTCAGACTGGCTTAGATAAGCTTTCTTTGTGTAAGCAAGAAGGGCAGTGGGTTGCCTAATGGTTAGAGTGTTTGCTCGTCACGCCAAAATCCGGGTCCGATTCCCTATATGGGTACAATGTGTGATAACTATTTCTGGTGTCCCCTGCCATGATATTGCTGGAATATTGCTGAAAGTGGCATAAAACCATATTCACTCATTTCTTTGTGGAAGCCTGTCGTAGACTTCAATGAAAACCAAGAAAGTACAAAGGTATTAGTACTCACTTCAGTGTTGTACTACAATAATCTGAGGATGAGGTGATGTGTAAGTCTGAATGACCTTGACAACAGTTGACAAAGGTAAATGTCAAAATAAATGGAATGGGTTAACAATAGCTTCCAAACTTCTAAATTTCAGATTGAATCCATATTTTCCACAAGCAAACAGCATGATAATACAGTCCTAAGTGTGTTCATGAAACCCAAACCCTCGGCTCCTGTATATGCTGCCCTTTATGTGCATGCTTTGAGGCATACATTTCAATATGCTTTATGCTGTGCTTTCTATGTTGAGTGTAAAGACTGTTTGTCACTTCCTGGTAAAAAGTATCATAAGGATACATTTCAGATATTTTGCTAGCATATTATTGTATTACCTCAGTATTAGTCATCAATACCATGGTGGCCTATTGACTGACTGTGGCGGGTCGTGCAGTCCAGTGATAATATGACTAACATCACAAGCTATTAGGATTGATACTCTATCAACAAAGTGACTTAAAACCAGCTGCTGGGTACTTGGGACCATTTTTCGGTGACTTACAACCAGTAATAGGGTATTGGGGACCTGTACATATTGTCAATAATACTATAATTTTATACATATCACGGTCTCATTTATGCATGCAGGCACTCTATCTGTAACTGCATGCCACTCTTTCTCTCTCTCTAACACTTGAGATGTATGTGTGTAACATGTGAGCCTCTCCACAATAGAACTTGACATACAAAAATGTTTGCTGTTTTGCATTTTGTATATGTAAAGATTGTAAATCGTCCTGATTGTTTACAATACGGCATATGATGAAAACAACGAATACATTAATAAGCATCTTCACAATTTTATTTTGCATCAAGAATTACAACAGTATTATTGAAAAAACTGATTAATGTAGTATTAACTGTGTATATTCATATGTAATGTATATATTTTTCTACATTTATTTGACCTGTTTTCAGGACCTCTCCTTGTACCTGACAAAGCCAACCCTAACTGTACCAGTGGAAACCATTCAGTAACATTTGGGTGAATACACTGTGCTGTTTCTAATATTAACTTTATCAAGTTCATAAACTATTGATAGATAATTATACACTCCAAAATCATGAATATGTATGTAGCAGGGCGTGGAGTCATCCCACAGATGACATCCTTACCTTGTCAGCTTGTTGACGGGGTTAACCTCTTTGGTCATGTGGACAAGGCGTCTGTCTTCTGATCAGAAGGTCCGTGGTTCGAATCCCAGCACGGGACTCGGAAATTTTATGGCTGCTACATGTATGCAATCATTATTGAGCTATGGTGGTCCACCATCATTGCAGCTAAAACAAAATGCTTATGACTAACCATCCTACATGCCACATGACCATTGTAGTTGGACCTGTGAAGATCCAGTTTAGAATTGGTCTTCAGTAACCCATGCTTGTCATAAGAGCGACTAACAGGATTGGGTGATCAGGTTCGCTATCTTGGTTGGCACATGTCATCGTATTCCAATTGCGTTGAACAATGCTCATGCTGTTGATAACTGGATCGTCTGGTCCAGACTCGGTTATTTACAGACTGCCTCCATATAGCTGGAATATTGCTGAGTGCTGCGTTAATTTTTAAACAACAAACCAACCAACCAACATGTAGTTGACTAAAGCATAAACCCAGACTGACTCAGCAAGACTATCAATGTCAGATGGTAATAATGACCAGTCTCCATGTGCTATGTAGTGTCCAGCCTGGGTACACTTATGTATGTTTATTGTGGGTATGTGTCTGGATCCTATATGACAATAACTCATGCATGGCTATCAAATGGCTATCAGATGCAATGAAATACAGGATAAAAGTGGGTTTTTCAAAGGAGGAAACTTGACTCTATTTCCAGGGAAGACCTGCCCAACTACAGCTTTAATGAATTTGAGCTATTTGACAACAACAGCTGCAGCAATGCATCTAAAGGTATGTTTACATATATGAGACTCATGTTGTTAATTTTACAACATAAGGCCAATATTTTTCTCATTCGTTGGATGGCATGTTTTTATTAGTCAAATTCAGAAGTCAAAGGAGGAAATTATAACAGAAGCTTTCATCATGCCACTGGTGCCAGGTCAAATGATGAATTAGCCATCTTTAGCACAATCATCTGCTGGAAGCTTCGGTTTTGTAATTTTCTAGATATAAAATAGTGTTGATTTCATCACAATCTGTATCAAGGACATGCAATATAACATGTATAATGGAAGGTATTTGCTGCAACTCATGGACAGAAGGATCTGGCAAAATGTTCATGTCAAATTGAGCAGATTAAGTCATGCTGATGACTTGTACATTTTACATGATGCTCAGTAATCGCTAAATATTTTTGTTTCTATGATGTGTCAGCCAAAAAAAAAAATCATGGAAGAAGGTCTGTGATCACAAAAATATACCGGTACCCTAACATATATCATCTCTTGTACAATAATACAATATGTAAATATCATTGATGCTGTGAAGCTGTTTTCCAGGTCAATCAGTGATCTTGATCTGAAATGTCTAATAAAAACCCCAAAAGGAATCAAAGAAAACAAAAGAGTTGATTCTAAAGTTACGAAAACGAACTTTTGTTAGAATTTAATCATATTTTGTTTTTCAGCTGCAAGAATCACTAAAGAGAGGAAAGACATTATGTTTCTGATGTATGTAGGTAAGATAGTCATAGTTTGCTTCAGAATATGTTTTTTTCTAATAGTAATACCAGCTCTAGACACCAAATAATTGCCATTCTTGTCTTGGCAAGCTTCACAAACTTGAGCATGTTTTTTCCATTTATAGAGTTATATGCGAGAACAATGTGCACACTTTGCGGAATTCTGCCATACTTTACCTCAATAGCAAAGAAACTGTGTGTAAATGAAATGTCCATTGTTACAATGGTAATGTCTCCATGTTTTAAATTGTATGTAATTGCTGTACCTGCCCTCCAGAGCTTGGTTGGTCTATGGCGGTGCTGTTGGCCATGCTGCTGTACTTCCCCAAGAAACCACCCATCCCTCCATGTATCTCAGCCTCGGTGAAGAGAGAAAGTTTCTCCAAAGGACTCAAGGACCTGATGAAGTATGTCATTAGATAATAGACAGAAGCATTGTGGTGAGTGAATGGGTTTTGGTAGAATGATGCCTTGAATAGTAGTTCAGTTCTGTCACGATGTAAATTGTTGATGTGAAATATTCATGTTGGCTAAGACAGTTTCTCAGCAATTTCTGCATGAGTCCTAAATACATACAAGCATGTTCCTAGTGATTAAATGCCACTAAACCTTTTCCATTATCATGTTTGTCCATTATACATTTCCAGTTATTTCCTGAGCATCTGCCACATAAAACATATCTGTGTAAGTTGTACTGCTCTTGCTTCGCAGGAAAGGAGATTTCTGGATCGTGTGTTTTGTGTATGGCCTGGCCCTGGGCGTGTGTAATTGTTGGACAGGAGTGATTGACGTTAATCTCAAGCCCCATGGAATAAGCCAGAATGTTGCTGGGTGGATCGGCTTCTATGGCACATGTGCAGGATGTGTAGGATCACTGATAATGGCAAGGTAAAGTTGTAACATTATGCACAATTATCAACATTTGATCGGTTTTGCTTTAGAATGTTCCAAATATATCTTTCTGCTACACCTACATGTAGTTAACATTTGACTCAGGGTTTTACATGACGCATGATTCCTGCGTATTTGACGCAACAATTTTGTATAAGACTCTCAAAATATTATCATACAAGTCAAGCTTGGCGCAAGTTTTATGGGTGACCCTCAGAATTCAGTTCAATAAAATCAATTTGATAAGCACACAATGATGGTTTTCGATGATAGTTTGACTTTGACAGAGCTGTCAGATTGTTCCAAAAGAACTCAGAGGAGACAGTAAGAAGTTGCCATCCATATACTTATCTTATATATTCGCCAACTTCTAAATGCCTCTCAAGCATCTCCTAGGCTGTAGATGCATTCAGAGAATGATTAATACAAATATCATGCCAATGAAGTATTTGTTGGGACTCACCTTTGCAAATGATAACATGTCACAAAGTTCACAAATGTTGTCAGTAAATAGTCTTACGTTTTTCATGCTAAGGTGTTTTTGTCAGTTAATAACTATGTTACAGTGGAAAAAAAATCACACAAGCGCAAATATTTGTTCAGTATTCTGGAGTTTGTTATGACTGAATTTAACAGTAGAAATATTACTATTTATTAACTAATCATATAAATGACAATACAACGTATAGCAATAAAATCTTTGCAAAACTCTTGCTCTTTGACTTACACAAAGAAATATGAAATTTTCATGACTCCCAAATATTGAAAATTACTCCCAAAGATAAATATTTCTCCGTGGTGTAGTGGCTAGAGCGTCCGCCCGGAGAGCAGAAGGTCGTGGGTTCGATCCCCGACCGCGTCATACTAAAAGACGTTAAAATATGGTACTTGTTGGTCCCTGTCTGGCACTCGGCATTAATGGGTACAACAAGGACTGGTCGGCTCGGAGTCAGTATAATGTGTCTGAGTGGGGTATTCATGCTTCACTGCAGCATGGTATCTCAGTGGGCTAGCACTATAAAACCAGCTTCAGTCTGGGCTAGTACAAGCAGCCGCACATACACATACACACGAATGCACGTCGTCATATGAGCGAAATATTCTCAAGTACGAGGTAAAACCCAATTTCACCTCACCTCACCCATTTTTCAAAGTCTGTGTAAATCCCAGTTGACTCTAACATATGCATGGCACACAGGCATGTGCTATACTTGGTCAAATTCTTCATTTGGTGCTCTTATTTTCAGATTAGCAGACATATTTTCCAAACACATGAAGTGGATCATCTTAGTTTTGTACATCCTAGGAGGAGGATTCTTTGTCTGGTTTGCTCTTATATGTAAAGGAATCGCACCAGCATCTTCAGGTTAGTGTCAATACCAGGATGTATACCCTGCATGTGCTTCTGTTTGTTCAAAAGAGATTGTCTTTATGGTCATGTAGTTAAAATGGATGTTTCTCAAGAACAGCATTTTCAATGTTTGGCCATTCTCATTACCATCAGATCTTTACTCTAACATCACTTGTGTCTGAAGATCTGACATGTCCTGATTATGAGCATGTGATACTCAGTGTCAAAACTTCGAAATTTATTGTGCAGATGTAAAATTCAGAATAGCATCTTTGATATCTGCCTGTAAACAAACATAAACAGGCAGCTCCAAATGCAAACAGTAAGGGCAGCTCTATATATGTTGTTCACATCAAAATATACCCTGTCATTGCTAAGCACTATGGTTTCTATACCCAACGTGTCTGTTTTTGCAGGAATATATCGGGATCCATGCCTAACAACAAGAACCCTTATAATCGTTTGATTTATTATCAATCTGTCATATTTTGTGGGGACTTTAGCTCAACAAGCAGAAACACTAAAAAATCAGCATGTACACCAATAAATAATTCAAAATTTATTCAAAACTTTCAATTTTAACTGCATCTTTGCGATGTTTTTGGATTAAAGATTTTTGGACGCCATATTGCTGGAATATTGCTGAGTGCGGCGTTAAACAACAATCATACAATAACAGGAATCAAAATTTACAAATGAAAGAGGTAAAATATATTAACTTTTACCATTATTAATGCTTTATCTGTAGAAGGTTTATCAGATATTCTACCAACTCATTTATGTTTAGAAACTATCTACATTGCCTTCCACGAGTTTCTTGATCTTTCTGGTTAGAATGCTATGACAGAAATCTTCTGATTTGCAGCAATGCTGTATCTGACCGTGATAGGAGGGGTGACCTCCCTCAGCTCAGCTGTTCCCCTCTTGTTCGAGATGTCATGTGAGCTGACATACCCGATAGGTGAAGGGACAACTAATGGGGTCCTCACTCTGATGAACAACATCGGAGGCCTGGTGTTTCTTTTTGTCCTGATGATACCCAATATAGGTATGTAGGTTTTTGGTGAGAGTCCTGCCATTAGGGACCACTCATAATCTATGGCCATGGGGGTGATGATGACTTTTATGGAGTACAATGTGAATGCACTCTTCCCCCCCCCCCCCTAAAAGTTATGTACAAAGTAAGTGACCCCCTGCTACCCCTGCTTGTTGTGAACCAAATCAATGACCCCCTCCCCTTCCTATTATTTTTGACTAAATATTTTTATGGACAAAATTGCTGCCCCCACCCTAGTGTATGTGTACAAAATTGCTGACCCCCCTTCCCTACCTCTCTAGAACAAAATGGGTGACCCTCCCTTAAAATCATCATCACCCCCTCTAGCCATAGATTATGAGCGGTCCCATATTCACAAAGGTCTTCTTCAGTTTATGGCTATTGATAAATCACATTTAGAAATTGGTGGGATGTGATGAGATGACATTTCTTTGTTGACTAACTCCCATTATGTTAGGATTGTTTCTTCTTATAACACCATTAGTTATAAAAGTGCTGATTGTCTTATCTGCTAGTTAGCCTACTAAACTATGTATTTAACATTTGTTTTCCAGAACACGTTAGTTAATCTACATGAGGATGTGATAATAATAAAGAAGGCCAAATGATATTTGCCTTTTTCTATACTCAGAACTTAAACCACAGGGTTTGGACAATAACGTTTAAAAATAAAAATCTAGACTTTTGCAATTGTATATTGTTTTCATGTGTAATGATTAACATATATTTCAAATGTGAAAGAAATCGGTGAAGAAATGAATATTTCAGCAAATTATACTGCTACACTCATTACATAAAATACACAGGGGCGGTGGGGTAGCCTAGTGGTTAAAGCGTTGGCTCGTCACATCGAAGACCCGGGTTCGATTCCCCACATGGGCACAATGTGTTAAGCCCATTTTCTGGTGTCCCCCGCCGTGATATTGCTGGAATATTGCTAAAAGCGGCGTAAAACTAAACTCAGTCAGTCAGTCAGACATAAAATACACAAGGGGTGACGCTGGCGATGCTGAAAACCTGATCAAAAACTGGACAGCCCAAGTATTTTAACATGCAGTTCAATCAAACCTAATGTTTTTCACCCAAAAATTGAGTTGAGCTTGTAGGTCATTCTTTTACCTTTCTGCTCTTTGTATTCAATTTGTCTAACTGCATTGCATATTTGACCACTGACCCTCGCATTAGCACTACCCTCTGCTTTGAACAAACGTCTGGCCTCTGTTCAGTAAACATCGACAGTTTCCGTAAATCTGTACGAAAACATTATTTATGCAGTTCGAGACACGAAAATCGTTATACATGGGCATAATGTAAACAATAACACAGACTCCATTTTCAACACCAACATGTCCGTTGATATTTCATGTCGGCTCGCTATTGTCTCGAAATCGTACGCATATGACATAAATAAACATAAACATAAATCTGAACGACCACATTGATTGAATATAGAACTTTAGCATCTTTATTTTAGCAAATTTGAAGGCATATTCTGTAATTCAATGATTTGGTCCCATTTTCTCCTGTTGTATGTTGGAAATAAACTGAACACCCAGTAACAGTAGCTAGAAAATGGTTGTTTACCACATTATATGATTAATAATGAATAGATCTAATACATTTGAAACACACAACTGATTAATTCAACCATGTAATTTTAAGAATGCATGTGCTTTCAAATATGTAATAATGACAAAGAAGAATATATCTATTATTTTCATTAATTTGGCATACCGGTATATCATTTCAATAGAACATCCATATCTATTCTTCCATTTTGCATGGGGTTGATCATGGTGACATAATATAGGCATTAATCTTAAAAAGTATAACAATAGTCATGGTATGGCAACATCTGCATGATGCTACCGAGAAGTTGATTACACATCGGACCACTGGCGTGTTATCTACTGGATATGGAAAATCATTGCAGCATTTAATTAAACTTGTTAACTGCTATCTGGCTGAATAATTGCTGATATCAAATTATAGGATTATTGACATGTATCAGATCTGGCCTAGGACAAAGTTTCCCCACCCTTGAATCAACTTTAAAGGCTATTTCTTTCCCATCCTTGTTCTTATATCAAAAGGGCAAGATTCTGGCCTAGCTAGGCTATTTCTTCCCCAACCTTGTTTTCATGTTCATGTTCGTCTTGAAAAATCAGACACGAAAACAAGACATAGCTCCTCCTTTTGATATAAGAGCAATGGTGGGGAAGAAGTAGCCTAGCTAGACCAGAAACTCCCCCTTTTGATTTAAGAGCAAGGGTGGGGAAGAAGTGGCCTAGCTAGGCCTGAATCTGCCCCCTTTTGCCCCCATTTAAGAGCAAGGGTGGGAAGAAGTGGCCCTTTTGATTTAAGAGCAAGGGTGGGGAAGAAGTGGCCTAGCTAGGCCTGAATCTGCCCCCTTTTGATTTAAGAGCAAGGGTGGGGAAGAAGTGGCCTAGCTAGGCCTGAATCTGCCCCCTTTTGATTTAAGAGCAAGGGTGGGGAAGAAGTGGCCTAGCTAGGCCTGAATCTGTCCCCTTTTTATAGAAAACAGGAAGGGAAGTTTGGCCTAGGGGTGGGCGACTTTAGCCTAGCCCAAACTTTCCCCAGGGTAAGAATATCCTTGGACAAAACTCCCCTGGGGAAAGTTTGGCCTAGGCCAGATTCTCCCCGGGGAAAGTTTAGACTGGGGAAAGAAATGGCCTGCTACACCGGGTCCAAGTCCCCATATGGATGCATATTGTGTGGTGCACATAGGTCCTTTGAACGCCTTACCTCTATTTTTTCGCTGACTATTTTGGCTGTCATCATTCGCTAACATCTTTTAGGTTATCAACAGAGAGTCTCACCACTGCCAACTATCTAATTAGTGTTGAGGTAAACCCTATCCTTAGGCTTAATACAGTTGTGCAAGTACAATACGGGAAAACATTACATATTTTCTGCTTGTGCTAATGTCAGTAACGAACGTGATAGTGCTGGAATATTGCTAGAAGGGGTGCAAAACTATACTTATTCATAAGAATTGCAGGTCAGAAACTCTGCCTTGACTGATGCATGCAGCTGTGTGATAGTTGCATGGATTACTGCTAATACATTCAATCACTAGCTTGCCTGGTCCAGACTGGATTATTGGGGGAGCACCTGTAGTGAGGTTAAATTTCGCTGACTTCAGTTTTTATAAATGGTCTATTGGATAGAGTCTGTCTCAACCACAAAGTCGCTGCCATTTACACCTCTCCATGGGAGACAAGAAAATGACTGGTTCTGTCTTGTAACACAGGTACAATGTGGATGAACTGGACCATTATTGGAGTCATCACCGTTTGTGTGCCGGTCCTGTTCCTGCTGAAAGACACCTACAAGAGGCTGGAGCTTCGATGAGGCCAACACTGAAACGACGTAGGATGGAGGGAAGGGAGACAACTCAGGGAACTGCTCAACGACTGCTGATAAAAATTGGTCTCCAGTTATACATTTAAGATTGAAATATGTGTAACACACATGCAAGGGAATGTTTTGTAAATATCTGTTGTCCTCTGGATCATCCAGATGCAGATCAACCTGGACAGAACTGACTTATGGAATTCATACAGTTTCTTTATTCTTACACTCCAAAATTTTGGTACAGGTGATTATTGGCAAGTACTTGATTGATAATGGAATGAACATGACCAATACCTCAGGGTCTGAAATGCAAGTTAAAGATAAGGAGCCAGATTGTTTTGTTAGCAGAAAACACTCTCCAGCATACATTCCAAGTCCATTGCCATCACCATGAAGCAATTGCCAGAAGAGTGATGGACGTTCCAGCATGCATGCCCTGTTCATTGCTGTAAACATGTAAATTGAAAGCATGTGGTAAGGTTTTTAAGCATTCCAGCAAGAAATTACCATATAATATGATGTGATCAGTTTGTATATACATTAAACTCAAATCAACTGGGTACATGTTGGCTCAAATGGTACCAGTGTCTGTTAAGCCATGAGGGCATCCTGAGTACATGATAAAGCGCTACAGTTGTCAGAGTCCATGTTAAAGTATAGGAGTTATTAGTCGTATCACTAGGATGGCTTTGTGGAATGGGGACCTTAGTGGGTAGCTCCAGTCACTCTGCTACGGTGTGCTGATGTGGATTGTAATGGGAAGATTGATGGGTAGCTCCAATCACTCTGCTACAGTGTGCTGATGTGGATTGTAATGGGAAGATAGATGGGTAGCTCCAATCACTCTGCTACGGTGTGCTGATGTGGATTGTAATGGGAAGATTGATGGGTAGCTCCAATCACTCTGCTACGGTGTGCTGATGTGGATTGTAATGAGGACTAAGCTAGAAAGTGTTCTGTGCATCAACATGATGGTCACTCCCTATGTTGATACTTACTAGTATACCAGTCTTAGCACTGAGACTGATTTGAGGACTTCATATCCATTTCCAGGCCATATCTAGTCATTGTATTTAGTAACATAACAAACAACTTGGTGATCACTAAACTTGGTTTGTTGTCTACTTACCAAACTTTGCCCCTCATTTAACTAAGTAAGTCTTTAATTTCCAAATGTAATCTTTGTATAATGTGTCCTCCACTCTAGCAGCCTAAAGCATTTTAAGATTTGTGGTTGCATAACTCTACTTGCAGGTTTTAACTTATCTTTTTTAGAAGAAATACACTATGGTAATACTATGATTATATAGACCACCATTTTAGCTTTGTTTTAACCACTGTTTGTTATATACATTTTAACTAGAATATACAGAAAGACCACAAAAACAGTTTGTTATATCTGTCAGTTTATTTTAAGCATGTTCCTGTTAAACATACTTACAGATACTGTATGATGGTAAACATTATTTTTTGTATCTTTTTATTTTTTTAAATTCTATTTATTCATCCCTTTCATATACATGTACAAACAGTGAATATGTATTCCTTCATTATTTCCAGTTTTCATCACCAGCTTTGAATAGCTCTGTGGGAGGAAATCTTGAGGGAATAAATAAAGGAACACTGCCATGAAGTGGTGTTCCCTTATTTGTTTCCCTCAGTATATTAAAATAGCAATAATACTAATGTGTGTAAAGTATGTGCACTAAAGCATCCATTTTCTGTAGACACAGAAAACTGTCAAAGGTCTGGCATTTACATGTACAGAGAGTGAATATGGTACACATTAATATCTTGGTAATAGTTGTGCTTATTCAGATAGCAATCATACTAAGGTGTGTCAAGTATGTGCTCTAAAGGCATCCATTATTTTTTACTTATTATTATGCAGATTTGTCAGTGTGTTTTGACAGTGGTGTAATGTAGCAATTGCTCGGGACACTTGATCCCAAGTTAGCAGCATCACTTACTTTGATCATGCAAATATTGCCATCAGTCTTTCATTTACAGCATACTTTCTTAACCGTTTATGTTTAATAGTGAACAATCATCCTTAGAATACTCAAGTTTACCTGTATTAGATAACAGTTTAGAAGTTTATGGGAATTCTATTATCCATCCATGTGTGAACATAGAACTTGCTGCACTGGTCCCTTTTGCAGAATGCTTTTCATTGGACAGAAGTTCCCGAAAGCCTTTGTAGTCAGTGACCACAGGTGTATTCTGGGTTCCTGTAGGGTTCCAGTAGGACCCCAGCATTCAAACCTTGTAATCCATCAAGTTGTATTCGTAAAACAGATCAGTTGAGTTCTACCTGGTAGTGGGCCAACTGACATAAAAGTGTGTTTTCCATCTGAATAGGACATCCATGTGTCAGATTAACAGCCCCCAACCAACAAATGACAAACTATATGGTGTATTACTGGCACTTTGTTTGTGTACAAATATTCTAGATGACCAGTTACTCATTGAAGTCCATTCTATATGTGTTGTTGTAGAAGTGGGTCCAGGATTGTATTTTATATATAGCTTCTTACCTCATCAGGAAAATAAATTATTTATTTTAACATACACATATTATTTTGACTTCAGTCTTCTACAAACATACTGGCACATACAAGGAAACAAACCGCTAATATTCACATTTATGTTATTGTATATGATTTTCTTCCATTGTGTTATCTATCTTACATGTTTTTCACTATGTAATCAATTGTTTTTGTAGTTATTTAGAATGGCTATAGCTTGTTCTCGTGGCAATTGAATGATATTTTGTTATATTGTTAACCCTTAGCTTGATGAATTAATTATTGACATGCAATAACTGATGGTGATTCTCTGGGATGAACTTTTGTCAATAACGTGTTATGTTCTTTTTTTGTCAAATGATATGGTTTCATTTTTGTATTGAATACTGGTATTGTCGCTTTGATCAGTTTGCCAAAACCTTGCCAAAAAGTTATCAACACATGATGTGTTTGGAATGAAGTGAACCCATTAAAAATCCTGGTTAGAATTGGTCTTCAGCAACAAATGCTTGTTGTAAGAGGCAACTAAAGGGATCAGGTGGCCAGACTCAAACAGACTGATGATCATGTCAGTCACTGGATTGTCTCACCCAGACTGGACTATTGTCAGACAACTGTCATACAGCTGGAATATTGTATGGTGCCAAGCAACAAACAAAACAAAGAGAATCAGTTGACAGAAAGCCACTTCCAGAACTTCCTATTATATTTTCTTCTCTCTATGTTGTACGGGAGAGGTGTTTGCATAAGCTCCTGGTTTGTTTACCGATCCCCATTTCTTGTATTTCGAAATACAAATATGTTTAACCTAAACTTCCAGTCTCTGCTGGAAATGTCAGTTTTGTATTTCTGTTCTTCTGTAGGTTTGAATATGTGGCCTTGTATGTATAAGTATAAGGCAAGTCTCATGGTTTTTAAAGTTTACAGTAATCACATCACAGTTTTATGATTACACGTTTAAATTCTGCAGAATAAAATGCATAGTTCTTATCAGATTTGTTTTAATTTCAACATTTCATGTTTTTAAGTTAACATAATGAAAAAATTGCAAAACTTGAGGGCTTAATACAAAATGGACTTCAATGTTTGTTTATTTGCACTGATACTCAAACCTGTCTCAGTGTAACAAGAACCAGAGAATGGAGGCCGAATGAGAGGATGAGCTGATGAAACCACTCACCGATATCATGCGCTTTCAAATCATATCGGATTGATATACAAAGGTTTTGTATTATATTCAAAGGTTTTGTTAATGTTTAATCTACATGTGAAAATAGGGTAATTGTTAAATTGTTGTTATTGCTCAACAGTCATTGGACAAAGTTGGTTGTGTCTGCTATGTAACTGTATGCTAGTTTGCATATTTTTAAAATGTATTTCATATTTTTGTGTAAAAAAGCAGGCCGCTGTTGTAATATTTGCCTTCTAGTGAATTGATAAAGAGGGACCCATTATTCATAAGTCAAAGTTAAAAGATTGTCAGATCTGACTTTTGTAACTGACATTCACTGTGTTTCAGTGACAAAAGTATTTTCAAGGTTAAACCATGTAATAGTTTTGACACTAATAACAGTTTACATCTCTGTAGAAAATGCTATTGTAAGAGATGTACACTCATGGTAAGATATTTGAATAAATGTCCTGTTTGATAATTGGTGATTTTGTGTGTAATATTTTTGCCAAGTTTGCGAAAAAGTCAATGATGCAGCAAAAGGACATCTTCATGAAAGTGAAAACAGAGACATTTTTACTACGTTGTGGCTTCATGTTTAATTGTTGTTGTTTGTTTACTATGTATTCAGCGGCGTCTGTACGTCCCATTTCTTGTTAGCGTGATATCTCATGTACTGTTGTACCCAATGTCTTCAAATTTGGTGACATCCTACATTGGGGGATTGCGCAGACACCAGTTTATTTGGGTGACCTTAACCGTATCTTCAAGGTCACCACGACACTTTGACCACTTTTCAAACTCTTGTTAACGCGATATTTCATGAACTGTCGTACCCAATGTCTTCAAATTTGGTGACAGCCTACATTGACGGATATGCAGACACCAGTTTATTTGGGTGACCATAACCTTATGTTCAAGGTCACACGACACTTTGAACACTTTTCGAACTGTTAACATGACATCTCATGCAGTGTTGTATCCAATGTCTTCAAATTTGGTGACAGCCTACATTGGGGGATTATGCAGACACCAGTCGAATTGGGTGACCTTGACCTTATTTTCAAGGTCACCACGACACTTTGACCACTTTTCAAACTCGTTAACGCGATATCTTATGAACTGTTGAACCCAATGTCTTCAAATTTGGTGACAGCCTACATTTGGGGATTACACAGACACCAAGTGTTTTAAGTGACCTTGACCTTATCTTAAAGGTCACCACGACACTTTGACCACTTTTCAAACTTATGTAAATGCGATATCTCATAAAACATTGCACCCAATGTCTTCAAGTTCAATTATGTCGACAGCCTACATTGGGTGATCATGCAGACACCTGTGATTTCAGGCATCTTGTATGTGAGCAAAAAATACAAAGTAGTAAATATGTCATGAATATTCCATTTTTTTGCGGCGGGGGACATTGACATATTAGTGGCAAACACTTGTTTGTTTTGTTAAAATATGGAACTTTGAAAAAGAATGAAAAGTAATCAGTATACACTCTCAATTCCACAGTTTCAAGGGTTGGAACTGAAAGATATTAAGTGAAACAAAAACACACAAATCTTCAGGAGTAAATGTCTCACATTGCTTGAACAAGAACAAGGATTCCTGATGGTGTGCTATAGTATTCCCAGAGTTGTTTCGGTAATTATCTAATACATGTATCTTACAGTCTAAGTGTCTTTTCAGTACTTTGTGACATCTCCATGCCCTGCAATACACGACTGAATGCACCTAGGTACACTACCGATCAAAGTTTGTTGGAAATCGTGTGACAGCGTATTCCAATATTCAATCACTTCTTTTTTCATATCCTCAATATTTTTAAGTCTGTTTTGGTTTATTCTGTCCTTCATTAGTCCCCACACATTCTCAATATGGTTAAGATCTGGCCTGTAGCTGGGCCAGTTTAAAAACTTGAACATTTCCGTCCGACAACCACTGTTTTGTGTAGCCCGCAGTGTGTTTTGGGTGATTATCATGCTGAAAAATCCAATTATCTTCATACAGTGTTTGGAACGTTGGAAGGCGGTGACCATTTAAGATGTCAACATATCGTTCCTTCGTCAAATTGCCAATGAAAATACACAACAGCGTCACTCCACATGATGATATCCCACCCCACATGTGAAATTTCGGGCTATGTTTTTGGCGTTGACAGACAGAACTTTCATCAGAAAAGAAAACATTATCCCAATCTTGATTTGCGTGAGCCCTACACCAGTTTAAATGTCTTTTTTCTATTCATCTTTCATCATTGGTGAGGGAATTCCACACATTTTCACCCAGTTAAGTCTTAGTAATTCTTGTCTGAGGGGTTCATCTATTAATTATTGCATTTGTGATATTCTCAACACTTTTCAATTTCCCCCTACTCACAAATATCATCATGTCTACCAGCTAACTCTTTTGCATTAGTCACTCCCTTTTCAAAATAATCTAGAACCAGCTTTCTTTTCTCTTCTACTGTCAAATCTGCCATGTCAACAAAGGAAGCTGTCTGCTACACCATGGAGGTAACTCTTGATGTAGTAAGGTTCATTCTTAAGCATACAAGAGTTGCTTCCCATATTGAGTACCAACACCTATTTTAGAATTTTAAAATCAGTATTAGGAAACATAGATTTTCTCAATAATTTCTGGGAAAACTGTACAATATGATTTCTTAAAACAAGAATGACTGAGGTTAGAATTAACAAGGGACAAAGCAATGTCTGGTGTAACGCAAAATGACCATGAAGTACAAGGTTGGAGACATAGGGGCGTGTCTCGCTTAGAAACCGCGTTAGAAAGACATATAGGTGCATAGACCCTACCCTTTAACTTTACTATATAAAAGGAAAGGGATGTAACGACGAAACCACCCCTCCTCGATCACAGTTATATTTCACCAAGTAAAATACGTGTAAGGGCCCGCCGAGGCCTACGCATCGAAAGCGAGACGATTTCCATACAAAATGAGCTATAAATGGTCACAATCGGATCATTATTTCAAAAGCTATACGCCACGACTCGCCGAAAACCGCTACCTCTGCAATTCCAAGCCAAAATCATGGATCAGCCAAGACAGCGAAAACTCACCTTTTAAATTTGTTTATTAATTCCAGCCACGTTGACAGCACCTATGTAGGGCAAGATTCGATCGGCAGCGGTATTCCACGGGTCTGAAATCTTATTGCAACATCTACATATCATTTCCTCGACAGTAAGCAGGCATTTTCTCCAAAATCATCAGCAATCATTCTCACTTGTCGGCCATAGATGACCTTGACATTCAAGTATTCGTAACTCCCATACTTTAACATAGACTTACGACTGTCGTAGCGCTACGATCGCTTTGAGGAACGGGGCCCTGAGCAGTAAATTGTTAAGGGTTAATATCATCTCCAAATGAATCAATATTAAATGCATTTTTATAACCTCTACAATTATTCTTAACAATTTACTGTTCCGTACACCATCCAAAATTGGAGGTATATTGCAAAGTTCATATTTCGCGCCCATTAGCTTACAGTATATTTTATTTTTCACCAATCGGATGGCCCGGGTCAGTTTGTGCGGATATGCTCAGGTCACTAGAATGTCAAGGTCATCTATGGCCGACAAGTGAGTGTGATTGGCTATATTGTCTTTCTAACGCTGTTTCTAAGCGAGACACGCCCCTATGTTTGGAGATGAACATTATTCATCTGTTCTAAACCTTTTCTAAGAATATTGAAAGCGGAATGAATGTAGTGATGTAGTGAAAAATGCACCGATTTCTATTTTAATTGTAATTATGGAAATCCCTCAAACGACAAGTCAGCAACCCTGTAGCTAAGATACACAGCGTTCACTGCATGTCAGTGAACGCTATGTATCTTAGCTAGCAACCCTGTTGGTCAAACCAGTAGTTTTTTTTAAACCAGTGCATGTCACACCATATGATATCTTTCCACAAAGCTGTTATTGTGCTACAACTCTAAGGCTTGCATAGTGTTTTAGGGTACTTCAACACAGGATATACTTTGTTGTCTCTGCTGTTACTAACAACCATTTAAAAATTGTATGTATCAGATACTGTCCCACTGCACTTACACTGATGTTCATATGATATGATGAATGTCCTTTGTCGGCAGGTTTTATAATATTTATATATATTCTATTTCAATGCCAAGTGTTCTCGTCACGATATGGCTGAAATATTGCCGATGTGACGTTAAATATTAACTCACTCACTCACTCATATGATATGATGTTCAATACATGCTATCAAATGGCAGCAGTATTGATCTTCATATCACAGTAGTACTGATCTTCATGTCACAGATAACTTCATATGGCAGCAGTACTGATCTTCATATCACAGATAACTTCACATGACAGCAGCACTGTTCTTCACATCACAGATGCCTTTCCATGGCAGCAGTACTAGTCTTCATGTCAACAGATAACGTCAAATGGCAGCAGTACTGATCTTCATATCACAGATACCTTGACATGGCAGCATTCATCTTACAGATAACTTCAAATGGCACCAGTACTGATCTACACATGACAGATACCTTGACATGGCAGCAGTACTGATCTTCATGTCACAGATGACTTCAGATGGCAGCAGTACTGATCTTCACATCACAGATAACATCACATTTGGTAGCAGTACTGATCTTCATGTCACAGATAACTTCACATGATAGCAGTACTGATCTTCGTATCACAGGCAATGTCTCATGCCAGCAGTATTGATCTTCATATCACAGATAACTTCACATAGCAGCAGTACTGATCTTCATGTCACAGATAACGTCAGATGGCAGCAATACTAATCTTCATGTCACAGATAACTTCATATTGCAGCAGTACTGATCTTCATATCACAGGCAATGTCTCATGCCAGCAGTATTGATCTTCATGTCACAGATAGCGCGACATGGCAGCAGTACTGATCTTCACATCACAGATACCTTGACGTGGCAGTAGTACTGATCTTCATGTCATAGATACATTGACATGGCAGCAGTACTGATCTTCATATCACAAATACCTTCACATGGCGGCAGTACTGATCTTCATATCATAGATAACTTCAGATGACAGCAGTACTAATCTTCACATCACAGGTAACTTCACATGGCAGCAGTACTGATATTCATGTCACAGGCAACGTAACATGACAGCAGTACTGATCTTCATGTCACAGGTAACTTCACATGGAAGCAGTACTGGTCTTCATATCACATAATTTCACATGGCAGCAGTATTGATCTTCATGTCACATCACATAACTTCACATGGCAGCAGTACTGATCTTCATATCACAGATAACTTCAGATGGCAGAAGTACTAATCTTCACATCACAGGTAACTTCACATGGCAGCAGTACTGATCTTCATATCACAGGCACCGTACACATGACAGCGATACTGATCTTCATATCACAGGCAACGTCACATGGCAGCAGTATTGATCTTCATATCACAGGCGTCACATGGCAGCAGTACTGATCTTCATGTCACAGATAACTTCACATGGCAGCAGTACTGACCTTCATATAACAGATGACTTCACATGGCAGCAGTACTGATCTTCATGTCACAGGTTCAAATGGCAGCAGTACTGATCTTCATATCACAGATACCGTGACAGCAGTACTGATCTTCAGCAGTACTGATCTTCATGTCACAGATAGTACGTCAAATGGCAGCAGTACTGATCCTCATATCACAGATAAATTCACATATCAGTACTGATCTTCATATCACAGGCAACTTCACATGGCAGCAGTATTGATCTTCATATTACGTCACAGATAACTTCACATGGCAGCAGTACTGATCTGCATATCACATTCAACTTCACATGGCAGCAGTACTGATCTTCACATCACAGGTGCCTTCCCATTGCAGCAGTACTGATCTTCATGCCACAGATAACTCACATAGCAGCAGTACTGATCTACACATCACAGATACCTTGACATGGCAATAGTACTGATCTTCATGTCACAGATGACTTCGGATTGCAGCAGTACTGATCTTCACATCACAGATAACTTCGCATGGCAGTAATACTGATCTTCATATCACAGATAACTTCACATGACAGCAGCACTGTTCTTCACATCACAGATGCCTTTCCATGGCAGCAGTACTAGTCTTCATGTCAACAGATAACGTCAAATGGCAGTAGTACTGATCTTCATATCACAGATACCTTGACATGGCAGCATTCATCTTACAGATAACGTCAAATGGCACCAGTACTGATCTACACATGACAGATACCTTGACATGGCAGCAGTACTGATCTTCATGTCACAGATAGCGCGACATGGCAGCAGTACTGATCTTCACATCACAGATAACATCACATTTGGTAGCAGTACTGATCTTCATGTCACAGATAACTTCACATGATAGCAGTACTGATCTTCGTATCACAGGCAATGTCTCATGCCAGCAGTATTGATCTTCATATCACAGATAACTTCACAGAGCAGCAGTACTGATCTTCATGTCACAGATAACGTCAGATGGCAGCAATACTAATCTTCATGTCACAGATAACTTCATATTGCAGCAGTACTGATCTTCATATCACAGGCAATGTCTCATGCCAGCAGTATTGATCTTCATGTCACAGATAGCGCGACATGGCAGCAGTACTGATCTTCACATCACAGATAACATCACATTTGGTAGCAGTACTGATCTTCATGTCACAGATAACTTCACATGATAGCAGTACTGATCTTCGTATCACAGGCAATGTCTCATGCCAGCAGTATTGATCTTCATATCACAGATAACTTCACATAGCAGCAGTACTGATCTTCATGTCACAGATAACGTCAGATGGCAGCAATACTAATCTTCATGTCACAGATAACTTCATATTGCAGCAGTACTGATCTTCACATCACAGGCAATGTCTCATGCCAGCAGTATTGATCTTCATGTCACAGATAGCGCGACATGGCAGCAGTACTGATCTTCACATCACAGATACCTTGACCTGGCAGTAGTACTGATCTTCATGTCACAGATACATTGACATGGCAGCAGTACTGATCTTCATATCACAAATACCTTCACATGGCGGCAGTACTGATCTTCACATCACAGGTAACTTCACATGGCAGCAGTACTGATATTCATGTCACAGGCAACGTAACATGACAGCAGTACTTATCTTCATGTCACAGGCAACATCACATGGCAGCAGTACTGATCTTCATGTCACAGGCAACATCACATGGCAGCAGTACTGATCTTCATATCACATAATTTCACATGGCAGAAGTATTGATCTTCATGTCACATCACATAACTTCACATGGCAGCAGTACTGATCTTCATATCACAGATAACTTCAGATGGCAGAAGTACTAATCTTCACATCACAGGTAACTTCACATGGCAGCAGTACTGATCTTCATATCACAGGCACCGACACATGACAGCGATACTGATCTTCATATCACAGGCAACGTCACATGGCAGCAGTATTGATCTTCATATCACAGGCGTCACATGGCAGCAGTACTGATCTTCATGTCACAGATAACTTCACATGGCAGCAGTACTGACCTTCATATAACAGATGACTTCACATGGCAGCAGTACTGATCTTCATGTCACAGGTAACGTCAAATGGCAGCAGTACTGATCTTCATATCACAGATACCGTGACAGGACAGCAGTACTGATCTTCATGTCACAGATAACGTCAAATGGCAGCAGTAACTGATCCTCATATCACAGATAAATTCACATATCAGTACTGATCTTCATATCACAGGCAACTTCACATGGCAGCAGTATTGATCTTCATATTACGTCACAGATAACTTCACATGGCAGCAGTACTGATCTGCATATCACATTCAACTTCACATGGCAGCAGTACTGATCTTCACATCTAAGGTGCCTTCCCATTGCAGCAGTACTGATCTTCATGCCACAGATAACTCACGTAGCAGCAGTACTGATCTACACATCACAGATACCTTGACATGGCAATAGTACTGATCTTCATGTCACAGATGACTTCAGATTGCAGCAGTACTGATCTTCACATCACAGATAACTTCGCATGGCAGTAATACTGATCTTCATATCACAGATAACTTCACATGGCAGCAGTATTGATCTTCATATCACATAACTTCACATGGCAGCAGTACTGATCTTCATATCACATTTAACGTCACATGACAGCAGTACTGATCTTCATATCACAGATACATTGACATGGCAGCAGTACTGATCTTCATGTCACATATGACTTCATATGGCAGCAGCACTGATCCTCATATCACAGATAACATCAAACGGCAGCAGTACTGATCTTCATGTCACAGATGACTTCATATGGCAGTAATACTGATCTTCATATCCCAGATAACATCAAACGGCAGCAGTACTGATCTTCATGTCACAGATGACTTCATATGGCAGCAGTATTGATCTTCATATCACAGATAACTTCACATGGCAGCAGTACTGATCTTCATATCACAGATACATTGACATGGCAGCAGTACTGATCTTCATGTCACAGATGACTTCATATGGCAGCAACACTGATCCTCATATCACAGATAACATCAAACGGCAGCAGTACTGATCTTCATGTCACAGATGACTTCATATGGCAGTAATACTGATCTTCATATCACAGATAACATCAAACGGCAGCAGTACTGATCTTCATGTCACAGATGACTTCATATGGCAGCAGTACTGACTTTGATGTCACAGAAAACTTCACATGGCAGCTATACTGATCTTCACATCACATATATAAACTATTAGTCATGTCATAATTGTTCGCTGTTGCAGTTATTACGTTCCGTAAGATTATTGTCTAGACATTCTTTATCTTCAGGTGGTATGTAGGTCTCGGCTGAATCTACTGATAACAAGACCAGGGATCAAGTGTACATATACAGATCATATCACGTGGGACTGTGGGGAAGGTACGTTCTATCATGAATACGCTTCTGTTTGAGCAATGCAGTGTCGTCCAGGTACTGAGCTATATGGTCTAGTCAGGTTGCCATGGTTATCGACTACGGTCTTATCCTCTAATAATACAATAATAATTCATGATGGTGATCATATTAATTGTTATGTCAGTAGTCAGTAGTGAGAAAAACGACTTCTTGTATATTGCATAGAACGGTTTGGTGCAGATTTTTGCACCAAAAAAGCAAACAAGGGATTACAACCAAGTGATAAGAAGTATATACACGTATACATATTATGTTATGGCACGCAGATTGATACTTGATAACAGGCTACTATTATGTCGGATTCTATGGAGAATACGATAACCTCTTTCAGAACCACGTGAAGTGAGTGAGTGAGTTGGGGTTTAAACAATTTTCAGGTATTTACAGTAATGCCACGGCAGGGACATCAGAAATGGGTTCCATATCATTTTGGAACCCTTGTTTGTAGTGTGACGTGTGGCTGTAACCATTTGGCCAACCTCCCGCCAAGACCATAAAGTAAGACGTCGGGTTTCAGAGAAGTTGGCATCGTTATGGAATCCCAGAATGGACACATAGCATTGTCGCCCTTAAACTAACATCATGTGTCGCCATTAACCAACGGTAGACGTGGAAGTACGGGGCTAGCATGTATAGGCCTAGACTAACATCTAGTCCATGAAATAAACATATTTTACAGAAAGAAACGGTTTTTAGATTATGTTAATAAAATACAGTTAAATGGAGCAGAGACTTTCTTCAGTTTGTAATCTAGACTTGCCACACATTCTAGACTTGCATGGGCTGCAATGTGCATATTTGTTCATGGTCTGCATGGAAGACTAGTATAGGCGTAAACTTTGTAAATGTTAATTGTCACATTATATAGATTGCTTTATTATTCCTGTGTAGTTAGCTTGCAGCAAAGCGATGTGTGAATGGCCTGAATTAATCCTGCTGGGACTGTTGCGCGAGCAGAGCGTATCACACGTATTTCATTTCATATACAAATAATTACGTAGGATATAGTTTGTTATCACCTGACATGACTAGGTGTTACAATGTTACTGACTTGCGTCATTACTGTTATCATGACAAACCGTATATCTTCCAATAGAGCAAGGATTTACCCTGTCTTAAAGGGCAAGTGTACACGAAAATTAACCTTTTTGTCTTGCACTTTTTCATCATAAAAAGTGTTTATCAAGTAGTATTATATCAAAACCCGTACATATATCAGAAGTAACTAATTTATTATTTGCGTTATATCAATTCATATTTTCAACATTTACCAAGAGTTCTATGTCCACAATAAACACCCCATGGCTTATGTCCCTTGGAAATGACGTCATTGGTGCCCAAACGATAAACGAATGACGTCGTCAGACCTTATTAGACCCATTTCACGTGGTGCAGGTTTAGGTGTGGTTCTTGTGTCTCGATGCGCAGGCTACTGTTTTAATCCACCTGCTGCTTGGCCGTCAGCTGACTATGTGGTCAGTTCTACAGTGTAATGACGTTGCAGTTTGAAAAAACGTATACATTGTACTAAAAGTGTTACCACGTAACCAAATTGTATAACATATTCAACCTGAGCCGGTCGCCTTTCCAACAGTATCTTTTTTCATGACACCTAAAACGTATATGCACTACATCTTGCTTGCCATCGGTGAATGTGCCGGCATTCTACGTTTGTTACTAAAGTTCTTACATAAATCGTACGATATGTCCCTCCTCTTCCACCTTCACTTTGATATCGATAGTACATATCCAAATACATCACGCAGATAAATGCAATTTGCAGTTTTGAACAGTGTTTGAAATGCGTTTTTGTATGATATCATCCGCTAATTGTATATAAAATTTACTGAAAATTACATGCATCGTAAATCTCGCCAGTTTTGACACATTACTAAATCACCATTCACTGCGTTTTGCGAAATTTATGGTATGTCTTAATTCAAATGTCAAATCTTACTGGGAGAATTGAATTTAAAAGAAAAAGACGTGATCATTGTGATCAGCGCGGTAGTTTTGTTGTTGCATGATCGAATCACCAATGCTCGTCTGAAACATTATCGATGAACCGAGAATCGCTGAGAATGTTTTGGAAAATACGCATACGTCAAAGTGAATTTTCAGCCATATTACATAGTGTTTATAAAATCACGTTACATGTATGTCGGTTATGTTTCGTCCATTAAATCAATTGTATAATTCAACACCATCTTCCTTACATGAATCCCTGAATTCCTCATACTGACAAAAACTGACAAATGGACTCTGTCACCAATACGAAGTGTTTCAGTGAAATCTAACGAAATATATCGAGGATATGAGATGCCGCGCTGTGAAAGAATACTTGTTTGAAACGTATACAAAGCCAATCTCAGATTTTACACTGTGTATCCGTTCGCCTACTTGTTGCATACAATTGCTCATTAGTTTTAGAACATGCATGGGAAAGGTATCGTAGCAAGCGATAGTTAAATAAAAAAAGGTGTATTCCAATGATTTTCTAGATTCATCACAACATATTATAGTTTTTGAAAGCATGACGCCATAACTGACGCAAACTCACGCACAACGATGACGGTACTTCTCTTAATTTCTGACTATTTCCCTTGGTCACAATGAAAACAAAAAGAACATAACAACCAGCAGACTGACAGAATTTTCGGACTACTTACATGTCACATTTATGCATATACGTTGCTTGAAACAACGAAAATTACCTTCGAAAACTCCGGCGTACTCGTGTCAGTGAACATGCCATTTTGAAAAAGTCGCTTCCCGATAGTGATGTCATACGGACGTCAACATTGTTATACATATTTGGTATTTTCATTGAGGCGAGGTTATGAATGAAAATACGCTCAATCCGTCCTCCTGCTTACATTTTCTGTTCTTATGCTTCTTTCGTATTTTCACAAACTCTTTTTCACGTGATTAATATCAGTATTATTATCTTTTGATTTGGGACTAGACAGGAGACCAGTTTAAAATCAAGTGGCACCAATTACGTCATAATCAAAGGGCCGTAACTCTGGCCTGTTTAGCTCGGCAAACAAATACCTCATATTGGCATAACATTTCAGCACTTATTTTGAGGGTTATACTTACATTGTAAGAAAAATGAGTGTATATTTTCAAACATTGGTATTAACTAATTAAAACAGTTCACTTTGATTCACATAAGAATAAATGTGATTTATTCGTGTACACTTCCCCTTTAAGATGATGTGCTCACATGTCTATTCCAAATCCCGTGTTACGTGTATGCCTGGACATCCCAGAAACCTTTGATCGTGGGTTCGAATCCTGTTCCGTAATGTCTGTGTGTAGGTTTGTCATCACCAGACACGTGGTGGTTGGTTTCGGGATTTTGTTTGTTGTTGTTTGTTTGTTGTTTTACGCCACTCTCAACAATATTCAAGCTATATGGCGGCGGTCTGTAAGTAATCGAGTCTTGGCCAGACAGTCAACTGCATGAGCATCGATCTACACAATTGGGATACGATGACAAGTGTCAATCAAGTCAGCGAGCATGGATGGTTGGTTTGGCTATAAAGACTTCGGGACTCCGTTACACATATATCTAACAAATCGGTTTTAAACCCAGTTCACTCATAACTATCACAGATTTCGAGAATGTCTAGAAGAACACAGTGGTGTGTGTCTGTCCATTCATGTTATCACTGTCACACAGTGCCACCAAACCAGTCCACAGTCAAGCTTTGTTATGTCAGTATGAAAGAAAGAAAACAAAAAACATAATAACATTTTTTCTATTGAACACAGGAATCGTCTACTAGCAAACTAGGTCCAGCCGCGGATAATTACATGATATTCTACACTATAACATACAAGTCAGCATGGACGAAAATACAAGGCTTTTATCGGATACGAGTGGCCGCCCATTTGATGGATTTGGCAAGGAAGAAGAGACTTTGTACTCCCCGCAATATTTAGCCATAAACGCTGCAGACCCCAAACTCAGCGATAATGCTGCCACTTTTGAGGACTTAGTGTCTGAGCGTACACGAATAACTACCCCAAAGTTCGACGACGGTCTTCAAGCCCCGGTAAACAGCAGCCCGGTGACCCAGGAGGTGGAGGTGAAGGTCAAGTTGTATAAACGACGATGGTACATTTTGGTCGTGTTCGGTTTATTCGGGGCCACACAGAACATTATGTGGAACACCTTCGCTCCCATCTCCGCAGTCAGTGAAGATGCATTCGGTTGGAATGACGGGACGATAACCACACTGATTAACTGGGGACCGATAACTTTCATGGTGACAAACGTGTTCTTCTCTTGGGTCATTGACGTGAAAGGTAAATGAGTGGGTCATTGACGTGAAGGGTAAGAGGGTGGGGCATTGACGCGAAGGGTAAGAAGGTGGGTCACTGACGTGAAGGGTAAGAAGGTGGGTCATTGACGTGAAGGGTAAGAAGGTGGGTCACTGACGTGAAGGGTAAGAGGTTGGGTCACTGACGTGAAGGGTAAGAGGGTGGGTCACTGACGTGAAGGGTAAGAGGATGGGTCACTGACGTGAAGGGTAAGAGGATGGGTCACTGACGTGAAGGGTAAGAGGGTGGTCACTGACGTGAAGGGTAAGAGGTGGGTCACTGACGTGAAGGGTTAGAGGGTGGGTCACTGACGTGAAGGGTAAGAGGGTGGATCACTGACGTGAAGGGTAAGAGGGTGGGTCACTGACGTGAAGGGTAAGAGGGTGGGGGTAGAAGGGTCACTGACGTGAAGGGTAAGAGGTGGGTCACTGACGTGAAGGGTAAGAGGTGGGTCACTGACGTGAAGGGTAAGAGGGTGGGTCACTGACGTGAAGGGTAAGAGGGTGGGTCACTGACGTGAAGGGTAAGAGGGTGGGTCACTGACGTGAAGGGTAAGAGGGTGGGTCACTGACGTGAAGGGTTAGAGGGTGGGTCACTGACGTGAAGGGTAAGAAGGTGGGTCACTGACGTGAAGGGTAAGAGGGTGGGTCACTGACGTGAAGGGTAAGAGGGTGGGTCACTGACGTGAAGGGTAAGAGGTGGGTCACTGACGTGAAGGGTTAGAGGATGGGTCACTGACGTGAAGGGTAAGAGGGTGGGTCATTGACGTGGAGGGTAAGAGGATGGGTCACTGACGTGAAGGGTTAGAGGGTGGGTCACTGACGTGAAGGGTAAGAGGCTTGGGCATTGACGCGAAGGATAAGAGGATGGGTCATTGACGTGAAGGGTAAGAGGGTGGGTCTTTGACGTGGAGGGTAAGAAGGTGGGTCATTGACGCGAAGGGTAAGAAGGTGGGTCATTGACGTAAGGGTGACAGGGTGGGTCACTGAAGTGGATGGTAAGATGTCGTTGCTGTGTTGATGTTGGTTTCATCACGATCGTTAGTATTTCGGTAATACCTTTAGAACTTCTTTCCTATTTTTCATGCTACTATATATAATCTGTCATTACGTCTGTCTGTTTATTCTTCTAGATTGTGTGTAGCATCTGAACACCTAATCAAAGCCTAATAAATCGAGGAAACAATAATCCATGATATATTCGGCACAGGCCAGTTCGTAACCCCGAATACCAGAAAAATGTTGTTGACACGTTTGACACGGCGTTCAGTGCTGTTTATAGTTGTAAAGATAATGTATTCTCAATCACAGGTATTAGGCCTGCCGTTGTGTCCAGCATGATGCTGGTAACAGTGGGTTGTGGTATTCGGTGTATCTCCTCCACGCCACCTCTCGTAACATGGTGAGTATGGGAGCCCTTCGTAACTACAGGCCCTCGTGCATGTCTTTACAGGGGGTTGAAGTTTTGGGGGTTTTTTTTAGATGACCTTGACTCGAAATGCTTCGCATTACCATATATCATGACAAGGCCGGACACTTTGGTGTACCCCACCCGCCTGCTTTGCCGATCGCATGCAATCAATTAAAACTTAATGAAAAACATATTCATGGATGATTGACCTATTGATCATCACTCATGACACGGCATTTGTAGCGGCACGCCTTTTGGATAGCGCTTCAGAGATGCCTCCCTTGACTGGCTTGTTTATTTTGTTTTGACTTCCGGCTTTCATCATGCCGTGTGTTCCACATGATTCCATAACGTTCTGAGAGAATAATGATGGAACCTAGCATTGCCAGAATGCTCGAGAACTGTAAGAGCTATATAAAGGCTGGTTGTTGAGTTGTGTGATGGGACTTATTACATGACTGGATTTATACACATCTCTCTGCCATCGTCAAGTTGATCAACGTTTCAAGACCGACCGTGCTTGCCTATTCAACTGCTGTCGTTGTAAACAACTGCCATTCAGTATATCTGCACTCACTGTAAATGTCAAGACTGCTGAGTTAATATTTTATATGTGTGACCCAATATTTTAGATTTGTGACTCAATTGCATTGTACTAGAAATCTGTAACTTGTCATTCATTGTAGTTTGCTCATTGTTTGTTCAATATATTATTGAATATTTTAGACTTGTTTGTGTTCTATTTTGCTGGTTCAAAGGGGACTCTAAAAACTTTTTGTCACGGCAAATTATTAACCGTAACAAAATTAGGGGCTCGTCCGGGATAGAATTAATTTGACATTTGAGACCTATTGTGAAATTTATTTCAAATTTCTGCAAGTTACCAGCTGTGAACCAGCGAAATGGTGTTTAAGCATGGACAGTTTCTTGGGGAGTTTTTGGACGTGAAGTTTTGGAAATGGTTGAAGAAGACTGTTCAGACCAATTGGAAATGAAAAAACGTGAAATTCAGATACAAATTCAAAGAGAAAAAGAAGAAAAGGAAATGAGAAAGTTGGAAATGGAGAAAGAAAAAGAAATAGTTTTCATAGTAGTTTGCTCATTGTTTGTTCTATATATTATTGAATATTTTAGACTTGTCTGTGTTCTATTTTGCTGGTTCAAAGGGGAATCTTAAACCTTTTGTCAGGCAAATTATTAACGTAACAACATAATACAACTTGTAGATGTACAAGCTTAACCTTTGTCATTACTATGATATCAAGAGGCCGTTTTCTCGAATTATTTTTGGCCGTTTTCGCTGGGGTCCGTTTTCCCTATAACCCCACCTACCAATTCTTTATTGTTATTTCTACAAGTCGATTGAAACCCGATTTTAACCCTCAAATAAACGATCTTGACACAAATTGCTGACGATATATCCGCATAAAACAGGGGTGTGGTCGAAGCAAGCCCTCTGGATTTAAATAAAGAATTGGTAGGTGCCATTAGTGGTGATCTATAGGCCAGTCATCCATGAATATGTTTACATTCAGTTTGAATTGATTGCATGCGATGGTAGCGTAGCAATCAGCAAAGCAGGCGGGTGGGGTACACTTAAGTGTCCGTCCTTGTCATGATGTATTGTACTGTGAAGCATTTCGAGTCGGGGACCATCTCAAACTTTTTATTTTTTTATTTCGAAATCTTTATTCCTCGCAAAGACAAGAGGGCCTGTGATCGTAACATGGTCAGTAGAGGAGACTTTCGTAACATGGTGAGTATGGGAGCCCTTCGTAACATGGTCAGTAGAGGAGACACTCCTCACATGGTGAGTATGGGAGCCCTTCGTAACATGGTCAGTAGAGGAGACACTCCTAACATGGGGAGTATGGGAGCCCTTCGTAACATGGTCAGTACAGAAGAACTTCGTAACATGGTGAGTAGAGAAGACTTTCGTAACATGGTCAGTTTGGGAGCCCTTCGTAACATGGTCAGTAGAGGAGACTTTCGCAATTAACATGGTCAGTATGGGAGCCCCTCGTAACATGGTGAGTAGGAGAGACTTTCGTAATTAACATGGTCAGTATGGGAGCCCCTCGTAACATGGTGAGTAGAAGAGACTTTCGTAATTAACATGGTCTGTAGAGGAGACTTTCGTAACATGTTGAGTAGGGAAACCCTTTGTAACATGGTCAGTAGAGGTGACTTTCGTCACATAGTGAGATTAAGAACCCTCAGTAACAGTTTGGAAGATCCACTCCGAATCTTGTCGCAAGCGGTGAGTTAGGTTGTCATCCATTAAAAATTAATCAGTCTGTTAAGATTATCAAGTTTTGGGTCCCTGCGTTGAACCAGGTGATTAATGCAGTGTTAGAGAAAGCGTATGACTATCAGTATTCACTTGCTGAGAAGGGACGTAACTGTTGAGCACTCCAAGTTAAGAGACTTCTATTCAGTTATGGTGTTGGTTACGTGTGGACCAATCAGAATGTTACATACAGCCAGGAATGTATATCTCTGTTCAAAGAAAGATGCATAGCCATCGATCGACAAACATGGATGGAACAGGTTGGACTTTATCCTAACTTGAATTATATTCCAGCATCAAATGATGTTTTAAATTTGAAGAATATTTATCCGTTGTTAGGATGTCCGGATATCGTATAGCACTATGTACATTTCGCTGTTCTAACCACAGTCTACTACTTGAAGAGGGACGAAAGTTTAACATTCTCTTCGTCACGAACGATATGTATCATTCCTTATATAGAATTCGAATACCACTTTTGAATGGTTTGTCCATTTTATGATATTCTGAGAAACTCCATTACACTACCTATCCATTATTTGATAAGTTTATTCACTATCCTCTACAAACATCGATGCCATTAACAGTCTTGCACCATTTGTAGTTCTTGACATGAAAAAGCGTGTTCGATTTCTAAAACTTAACATGTAACAACCTTGGCGCTGTATATGTCTGTATGTACTTTTATAGTATAATGGGCCGGTGGCCCCCTTACAGAAATAAACATCTCTCTCAGTAACATGGTCAGTACAGGAGACTTTCGTAACATGGTCAGTACAGGTGATCAGATGAAGCTCGTGTCACTATGGCAACTGGTACACGCAACACCCATACACGGACATACACATCAGGTAATATAAGCTTTGTTTTGCCATGTTTATGAAGATGACCACCTATTCTATTCAAGGCTTAACCACATCGGGGCCGCCTTAAACGGGTTGGCTGGGGCAGTGGCAATGTTTGGTCCTCCTGTCGTCTCCAGCGTCTGGTTCGGTCCTCACGAGAGGACAACAAGCACTGCTCTCACCATCGTCCTCGCCAACATGGGACTGGCCTTCACTTTTGTAGTAGGTCAGTGCCTCTGCTGTCCGAGCACGTCTCTTGCAACCTACATAATCTGAATATATAGTCAGATGGGTATATGAGTGAGTGAGTGATTGAGTGAGTGCAATGTTTGTTAGTTTTCCATCTGTATGACTGCGGTCTGGAAATAATCGAATCTAGACCAGACTGACATCATGAACATCGATCTACGCAAATGACATACTGTTCCATTCATCGCCTCAGACGACAATCCAAACTACAGAGGCGATCAACAGGATCGATCGAGTGGTCAGACTCGCTGACTTGATTGATACATGTCATTGTATCCCAGTTGCGTAGATCGATGCCTGTGACGTTGATCACTGGATAGTCTGGTCCAGACTCGAATATTAAAGGCCGCCGCCATATAGCTGGAATATTGTAGAGTGCGCCTTTAAACAACAAGCCAAGTCTGCTGAAGATCTTCACGGGTCCGTGAGTGGGTCAGTGAGCCTGTAGTGATGTGAGGCATAGATGAAACCCGTGTAAGGAGCTGACTACCCTAAAATATAGTCTGGGCGAATCTGGTTTCTGACATGTTGAATGACTGAACTCTGCACAGCGAACAGCGGCGACACAGACAAATCAGATAACCCTTGTCCCCAAGTTCAATTGGACTTTGATTGGAAGGGCTCGCAGAAATGAAACGCACCTGGGGGACATCTGGGGATATTTGCTCAACGTGATCGTAAAGCCACATAACCCCAACAAATGATCACAATTGCGGAATCATCGAGATAGATAGATATGCTGAGAGAAACAAATAAAGGATCACAGGAAAATGCAAGCGTTCCTTTATTATTTTCCAGTTTTCATCACCAGCTTTGAATAGCGCTGTGGTGATGAAAACTGGAAAATAATAAAGGAACGCTTGAATTTTCCTGTGATCCTTTATTTGTTTCTCTCAGTATCGTTACTTACCATCATTTGAAACGGTGCAGTTTCTGATAAATATACGTATGTATTGGTGGAAACGTAAATGAGTCTCCTAAGGAGAAGTTTAACTTCTGTCATTGGTTCATGGAGACCACTGTTCTACACTAAAAGGCTGCGAGGAGACATAATGTAGCACATGACTTAACTATATGAGTGGAATTTCGTCACGATATACCACTGTTATATCGACAACTACATCTACTTATACGTAATGTCAGGAATAGCATCATGTGTATTTCATTCGTGGTGACCTTTAATGGATCATTCAAATCATTTTCTTCCAGGGCCAATTTTAGTGCCGGATCGTACCAACCCAAACTGCACCAATGTAAAAAACAACGAAAGGCGAGTTATTTCATTGTTTGTCCCAGTAATCCACGTACCGAAAGGCTACAAGATTGTTGAAACGGCATTAAGCAATAATCAATAACTCACGATGATTAATTTCTATTTTGCGCATTTGTGATTTTTAAGAATAATCTGATTAATACATCAGGTGTATTAATATATCTAGTTATTATATCGATATTAAACATTGATAAGTTCATTGATTAATTTCAACAGTGGATGTTAAAACTGTAATCGAAACAAACTGATGTAAATGGAGATCACATTCCCCCATGAGGAGCTTTTCCCCTAACCTATGGACTTCATGATTTATATGCACCCCCTTCTCCAAACTCCTGGATCCGCCCCTGCCAACGTAACCTTAATGAAGTCCGTTGTCGTAATGATGACTTCTGTTTTACGTTTCCAGTATCCATATGACGACATATACATCCGACCTTGAGGAGACAGGCTGTTCCCTGTACTTCAATACATCAGGTGAGTGTCTTCACGACATCTTCAGGACATGAGGAGACAGGCTCTACCCTGTTTCAATACATCAGGTGAGTGCCTTCACGACATGTGGAGACAGGCTGTACTCTGTACTTCAATACATCAGGTGAGTGCCTTCACGACATGTGGAGACAGGCTGCTCTCTGTACTTCAATACATCAGGTGAGTGTCTTCACGACATGTGGAGACAGGCTCTACTCTTCAATACATCAGATGAGCAACTTCACGACATGTGGAGACAGGCTGCTCTCTGTACTTCAATACATCAGGTGAGTGTCTTCACGACATGTGGAGACAGGCTCTACTCTGTTCTTCAATACATCAGATGAGCAACTTCACGACATGTGGAGACAGGCTGCTCTCTGTACTTCAATACATCAGGTGAGTGTCTTCACGACATGTGGAGACAGGCTCTACTCTTCAATACATCAGATGAGCAACTTCACGACATGTGGAGATAGGCTGTTCTCTGTACTTCAATACATCAGGTGAGTGACTTCACGACATGTGGAGACAGGCTCTACTCTTCAATACATCAGGTGAGTGTCTTCACATGAGGAGACAGGCTCTACTCTGTACTTCAATGCATCAGGTGAGTGTCTTCACATGAGGAGACAGGCTGCTCTCTCTACTTCAATACATCAGGTGTGTCTTCGCGACATGTGGAGACAGACTGTATTCTGTACTTCAATGCATCAGGTGAGTGTCTTCACGACATGAGGAGACAGGCTGCTCTCTCTACTTCAATACATCAGGTGTGTCTTCGCGACATGTGGAGACAGACTGTATTCTGTACTTCAATACATCAGGTGAGTGTCTTCGCGACCAATGCTTCTCAAGCAAGGATGTAATTGACGTATAATTAAAATTGTATAAAATAAGTTATTGACACTATATTTTTGTGTATTTATCCTCTTCTCTGTCTTCTCAGGAACAAGGATAGCAGAAGAACGGAAGGACATTATGTTTATGCTGTATGGTGGTGAGAATCATCATTTACCTAACGTATTGTTGTTCGAGTCATCACATGAAAGTGATGGAATTATATTTCTGTTAAAATTATTTGCGTTTTCAAAGTCAATGCTTGTTTAATCCATTCTTTATGCACACAATGGCAACCCCATATGCATTTACCGTGTTCCAATGTTGTGGTCAGTCTCAGATTTTCTATTGCCGGGGCTGTGGCCTAGCTCTACGTCCTCTTTCTTCTGTATTTCACTGTATCAGTGCAAGCAAGAACAATCTGACTGAAGCATACACTGTCTTTTCAGTCTGTGGATGGTCAGTGTTCCTCCTCTTGCTCATCCTGTTGTACTTCCCCAGCAGACCGCCCCTTCCCCCGTGTTTATCAGCGTCTAAAAAGAGGGAGAACTTCCTTGTGGGACTCAAAACTGTCTTCAGGTGACGACTGTTCGTCTGAACGCATTGTAACATTGTTGTTGCTGTTGTTGTTGTTGTTGTTTAACGCCGCACTCAGCAATATTCCAGCTATATGGCAGCGGTCTCAAAATAATTGAGTCTGGACCAGACAATCCAGTGATCAATAGGATGAGCATCGATGGGATACGATGACATGTGTCAACCAAGTCGGCGAGCCTGATCACCTGATCCCGATATAACGACAAGCATGGGTTGCTGAAGACCTCTTCTAACCCGGATCTTCACGGGTGGTAACATTGTTAACATGCTGAGTTCACAACACGCATATTTTCTTACAAATCCTCGGGAACAAGTAGACAAGTGGGCTAAGCCAGACAGAGTTACAAAACATATGTTCCTTTTGTATGCCATGATTACGTGGATACATGATACAATGTGTGAAGCCCTTTAGTGGCGATATTGCTGGAATATAGCTAAAAGCGGTGTTAATCAATGTGTCTTGAGTTCTTGAGACAATCAGATGTAAGCTAATAGATTTAAGTTCCATTTCTTTATCATTTGAATTTGGATATTAACAAGAGAAACCCACACTTGTGCAGATGATATGGTGCTCAGAAAGGACAGGGAATGTAACTTATGTGGCACGGCCTTTATTCTTACCTATTCAGGTGTTATTGTAAACACCTTTATAGTTCAACAAGAAGAAAGTCGGGCAGTGAACTAGGGTCCGATCCGCAAAGCGTTCGTAGCACTACGACATTCGTAAGCCTATGGTAAACTATAGAGTTACGACATGTCGTAACGTTACGAACGCTTTGTGGATCGGGACCCAGAACAGCTGACTAAGACCACTATAGCTACCAATAACCAGTTTAGCACCAAGAAAGCTCCGGCCGTGCCTGAAAGCTCATAGCCTCTACACGTATCTACCACGTTCTATGGTTACTGTTAGAAAATGCGTAGAAACATGCAGGCTGATTAAAATGATTGAAAATCAAGGACATTGTTGCGCTATGGATGCGCTGCCTTGAATGTAAAAAAAGAATTCACAAGCTCAGTTGTGACTGGCTAATTCCACATTAAACTGTCATTTTCTCACTCACTTATAAATCCCTGTCCACGCATATAATTGTCATGACTTAGATACCACAAAACCCGTGAAAATCAGGGTTAGAATAGAATAGAATAGAATAATACTTTAATGCCTTTTCAGGAATTTGTGTTACATCAGCAGTGCTACTGACACATTAGAGAGATACCAAACATATTTACATAAATTCTTTGATTTAGGTATCTTCACATTTGTTTAAGAGATATATGGTACTTGGAATAAAGGATGTACGGGCTCTCTTAGTTTTCACAATTAGAACTTTGTAGCGGCGGCCTGAAGGGAGGAGGTTGTATTCCGAATTTAAGTAGTGAGTACGGTCAGATATGATTTGACATCTTGATTCACGATTTGCCGCTCATATATTGATGATAATTGATCTTCATGCTTGTCGTAACCCACGCTTGTCGTACGAGGCGACTAACGGGATCGGGTGGTCAGGTTCGCAAACCAAAGATACCACAATGTATCTATGAACTATTCATTGTTCAGGCGTGGTCAGTTCTGGCTGCTCGCTCTGATATACGGTGTGACCCAGGGAGTAGCCAACTGTTGGACAGGCTTGGTGGACGTCATTCTCAAGCCGTACGGAGTAACTCAGAAACAGGCCGGCTGGATGGGATTCTACGGCAGTTTGGGCCAGATGGTGATGTCGTTAATAGTTGCAAGGTAAACATGATACACAACCGTGAGGAACAAAACACTTTCCAATTAATCAGTAGGACATTTGATAATATTGCAATTTCACTGAAATTGAAACCTGATCCAATTTCTACACGGTGAGCTGGATAGTTGATATGAATGGCTTCGAAAATACCTTTCCTCTCTTAAATAGATTTTAATATTTCAGGTTTGCCGACAAGTTCTCCCGCCATTTTAAAGTGTTGATACTCCTCGCGTACGTCCTGGGGGCTGTGAACGTGACGTGCTTCGCCCTCGTCTGTGTTGGGGTACTGCCCTCTTCTCTTGGTAAGACTCTGTTATAACAACACCCCTGGACTAAAATATATATCTACCCGCGTTACTGTTTCAACAGATTCTGGTACGATGGCTTCTTGTTTCCACTGAAAGCTGCATAAAAACTTTGAGGCGGCTACTACTGGTGTTTTGTCGAATTCATGGTATCAACACCATGTGATACTGATTTAGAAATACGTGCTAGTTAAATGATGAAATGTTCGAAAGTGTACACCGAAACCATGCGTGCGTTCAGGGTAGAGACACTTACAAGACAAGTTTAGGTGCAAATAATGTGTGTCGTGAGATTTTGAGTTCATGTGCTTTTCCCTGTCTCAACAATACTTAATCACAACATACCTAAACTCTAACATGTTTAGAGTTTGTTCATGGAACTAAACACCGGCAGGCGTTCAAATTGAGCATAACTTCTTTGAGTGGCATTTAGAAGTTGGTGTGATAAACAATGGGGAAAGTACTATGGATATACAAAGACGTTGTATATCCATGCTCACTGCACTTGCACAACGAACACGGGTTAGTCCAGATTAGTACAGTTTCAGGGAAAGGCAAGCGAGCATTAGAGGTAGTATTCAGAGAATTATTATCATTGCTGATCATTTGCAGCGGCCTTGTACGTCACGTTCATAGCGACAGCCACCATCTTATGTTGTGCGGAGCCACTTATCTATGAACTGACGTGTGAAGTGACGTTCCCCATCGGCGAGGGGACAACCAACTGCATTCTGACACTTGGGAACAATATATTCGGCTTCGTCTTTCTCCTAATTCCTACCTTACCACATATTAGTAAGTATTTCAATACCCTCCTTCCGATGTTCTGCCAAATGAGTTTCTGAAGGAACTCTGGATTGAAACAAAAACCCGTATATTCCATACCTATGAAATGTTGGTTCAGTTTAAACATATTTTATTCACAAAGAGAAAAGGATCGGGTACAAGGTCTTATAACTTATAAAACGCCTCTCCAAGAATATTTACAACAACAAAATTCAATGCAAACAATCATTAGAAACAGACATTAAGATTGACAGTTAAGGGGAAATATCATAATACAAAAGGTGCAGAGAAAGAAAACTAATGGAACCGTTTTGCTTTGCCAAGCAGTCAGGTGTAGAATCTGCTTGAAATAAAATAAAGACTGAATACCAGCTGTTCTAATTCCAGGTAGCCAGTCCTGGATGAACTGGGCCTTGTTAGGAGCTATAGTGGTGGCAATCCCTCCCATCTTGCTTCTGAAGGACAGATACCTAAGGCTTGAAGTAGACGAACACGCCGAGAAGAAACTCATGAGGAAGCAGCCTGAATGAACATGTCTATTGGCGCATCACCACGTGAAGAACCATGTTTTATCTTTGGATCATATACTGGAAATTGATACTAGAGATGTATATCCTTCGTTGAACCCAAGCCATTGCAGGACCTTCAATTCCTCGTTATGCCTGAAGGGAATGGTCCACGACGTACATATAGGACATACCAAGATAAATAACTGGTCGCATATACCGCTAAACATCAGTGCTCATTGTAAAACATTGATCCATACTGTTATACCTATACGAAGTCAGATACTGCTTTTACTTTGATATTATACAATTATAGACTGGTGATGAGGTCAATACCTGTTTTTATGGACCCGCGAAAAGCAATATTAACTCAGGTCAATATGACTTTTGGTCGGACCTGGGTTGGAGTCAATATGCTTTTCTGTCGAAGGTCACGTGACCGCCTCTAGACCAATCAGGTAACCGGAAAAATATGCTTGCATAATAATATACAATTATAGGTGATGAGGTGACTGGTGATCCTGTTTTCGGTCAGTATTGACCGAATTCACCAGTCCATAATTGTTTTATTATGTAATTACCGAAAAAAAGCTTCTAAATAGCATTTAGTCAACAAAAGTAATTTGATTTTCGCTACAAACCAATAACGTTATGTCAACAATACTGTGACATGTAAACAATAGAATGACGTCATAGCTTGGCGTCAAAATTAATTTTTAGTAACTCAAGTCAATGACTTTTGGTCGGACCTAGGTTGGAGTCAATATGCTTTTCTGTCGGTCACGTGACCGCCTCTAGACCAATCAGGTAACCGGAAAAATATGCTTGCATAATAATACATATTTAACAACACTATACTTGCAATACATGATATATTATCATGGATGAGGAAGTAAATAATGTTTAACGCCGCTGTCAGCAGTTATGCAGCTCTATCACTGGGACCTGTGAATAATCTGATAATAATAGTCTGAGTAAATTGATGACGGTATTAATTACCCCGATCCTTCCACTTTCTTTGTTGTTTAACACAATATTCAGAAATATTCAAGATATATGAACATGGCAGTGAATAGTCGAGCATGAGCCAAAATTGTGATTTATATTAACAGCAACACCTCATGCTGGCGCAACTAGGTCACCCAGCCTGAAAGGCATTTAGTCGCATGGTATAATCATAGGTTGATGTGGAGTTTACCCAACCCAGAGTTACTGTGACAGCTACAGAGTGTTACAATGAAGATGGTTATCTGTGCATAAAGACATACTGATCTGGTGTAAAATCTCACACAGCACTGATGTCACCGGAGTCGACTGGGATATTGTCTGTAAATAATAACTATGAAAAGACTTTCCATTATTAGAAGAAATCCGAAGGGTCAGTGAGAATGTGTTCTTGAATAACTATGATATAGTGATGTTCGCCAGAAGGTGAGCATATCTTGCGTAGGTAACACTACTTCATTATAGTTCACAACAAAGAATATTTTCATTTGTACTATTATTTTGTACTGAATAAATTATATTCCATACATCCATAACACATCACAACTCTTTGCCACTGAAACAGATTTCGATTTGTTTGTTTCACAATACAATGCATATCACAAACTCAGTGTCATAATTGTTTTGTGTGAGGAATTACCCTTCTCTGTGAAGCAAAAACATTAGTATTGTCATGAATTGCGCACACCTTAAAGTGTGGGTTTAGAGTCTTCATGTGGCTGAAAGTTATTTCCCTTTGAAGCACTTCGGCCATATTTGTTTTTAAATCACAGTTTCGCCCTGATTATAATAGTTTATCTGCACAGTACTTTTCTGTCCAGTTTCAAACGTTTTACACCTGCAACACTTCATGCCCTATATTTCAGAAAGGTTGATTTGTGTACTTGCTTTGTCCTGTCCTAGCAAACTTACATGAAGGTCCCAACAAAGTTACATCGAAAGGCTTGGAATCAAAATACTTATCCTGATACAGTTCCAACAGGTGTTCTATGGGATTAAGATATGTAATCGAGCAGGCCAATCCAAGTTGTAATGGCTTCCTTGCATAGGAACTATGACAATTGGTGACTTGTAGAAGGGCATTATCGCCTTGATCATAGGCCTCATCATCAACGGGAAGTTGTCAAAATGATGAACTGTGACTGTATTCAGTTTATCTTTTTGAAACCTTTCTACTTTTAGGATACCACGTACAGTGACATCTTTGAGTAAGACAGTACTGTACATCACTTCATTGATAACGGTGTTAGCATCTACACCGTAACATCACACATATTCTAATTAGGAAGTTTAATATCCATAGAATTTCTAAAATGATACGAATATATAAGAGCAACATATACAAAAAGGTTTGAAATATATAGATTTATTTTCATTAAACATGTGAAATACAAAATCTTTGGACAAAAGTCCAGAAAAAAAACAGCATATCACCCAATCATTGGAACTACCATCTTTATACAAATAATTTTGGCAGCTCACTACTAAAAATCGGTCGAAAAAGTACACAGAAATACACTTAAGAAATGATATTTCTGAATCAGATCACCAAAGTACACTGCTTCCCTCTTTTCTATAAATAGCGTGTACAAAAAACAAGTACATGCATTAACATGAATAAAATCTACCTCAGTTAAATCAAATTTATTTTTCTGAAAGATAAGCCATTGATATTAATGAATGTTAAATTTCTATGAAATATTTCTTTCAGAGTCAAGCAATTTTCGAAAATCAACAGGCGGCAACAATGCCACTTTAGTAAAGATAATCAAAGCCACTAGGTGCAAATTACAAATAGAGATCATTCTCATGGAGCCCAAGTAAAGAGGTGGAGTTTCAGCGACTTTTGGATTAGGACTCAAAAACACAAATTACACAACCATGCACATTTACAGTCAAAATAAAATAATGCCACTGCTAATTCTATACAATTTGCACTGTAATTCAAAACACAGTAATTCCTTAAATAATCATTCTCACTTTCAAATTGTACCACAAACATTCTATTCAGGAAACCTATGGACATGATTTTGAAGAAATGCATAATTTTTAGTGATGTGTATCATGATTTATTTATTTTTGTTTGGGGCTTGCAGTAATAGCACTATTTCTGTAGAGGGAAGCAATGTCACTATACTAAATTAGATTCTGCTTCATGAACTGAGCTCCAAATATGCTGCAAGCATCCTTCAAAGGCCAACAACAGAGGTAAATGGACAATGTATCCCATAAATCAACAAATAGTGTTGTCCTCAAAGAACGACGAACAGGGAACATTCAGAATTTGTGAATATACCTGTTCCACTGTATTGCAGTCATTTAATCTAATGTCTACATTTTCTGTTGAATTATACAGAGGACTGGCTCAAGATGCCATAAACACAAATAGAAACCCTTCAAAGAAAAAGATCAACTGAAAAAAAGAAAAAATCTCGTCCCATCTTCGTGTTCTTTTATGCTCAAAATTCATTACAACTGATGCCAGTCCTATTTCATTGGTTGTCTTATAACCTTTGTAATGTCTATAATTTTGCAGATAGCTAGAACCAAACCCATCTTTACATGTGAGTATCACAGACACCTTTTCTATGGGTTCATGTCTGTCATTCCTTTCCACTTGATTGGCAACTGTCAATCAAAGAAATTCAAGCCAATCCTCCTCTTCACCACAACGTAGATCCTCCTCCAGAACCCCCTGTGAACCAATTAGAACTCTGCTGGGTACCTACAACTGTCTGCCCCTGCATCTGAGCGAGCTGCGCAGCATTGGGTGCCATGCCAGGAGGGGGTGGCTGAAAATGCAGTGTTTGTCAGTCAGACAAGACAGTAAATATGTGAGAGTTTGGTTTAATGCCTTTTCTACAGTATTTCAGTCATATCACTACATGTCAGCTTAATGTTTGAAAAAAGGCCTGACGGATGCCAGTCTCAGATACTTGACACTACCTGGGGTACTGGGCTGACAAATCAAGAAATGGATTTGAACCATCATACAGAAATTCATAGGTTTGTGGCCTGCTAAAGGGACACAATTTTGCACTTTCAATTTCAGCACCTGAGAATACTAGTCCTCATATGTCCTGTATTGTTGAAATCAGGGGCGTAGCTGCCATATAGGCAAAAAGGCAATTGCCTACACATAAGTTTGCACACACAAAAAATATTAAATCAAGAGTCATCAGAAGATGACATATCCCCCCGGCCCCCACATACGCTTTTCGAGTTGTGCACCGGAAATGAAGCCCACCCCTCCCTTTTGGGACTAAGTCCTAATTGTTTCCATGGAAACCGGGAAAGATAAATCTGCCAAACAACAAAGGGGACCACTTTGGCATCTGCCTCACATATCTGCCAAGTTTTGCTGAAAGATATTAAGAAGTTTTCGAGTTGTGCTCCGGAAACGAAACCCACCCCTCCCTTTAGAGACTAAGTCTGAATCGTTTCCATGGAAACCGAGAAAATAATAAATCACAAAAATCTGCAAATAGCAAAAGGCACCACTTTGGGATCTGCCTCACATATCTGCCAGGTTTTGCTAAAAGATATTAAGAAGTTTTCGAAGTTGTGCTCCAGAAACGAAGCCCACCCCTTCCTTTTGGGACTAAGTCCGAATCGTTTCCATAGAAACCGGGGGAAAAAAATGCCAAAAATCTGCAAATAGCAAAAGGAACCACTTAAGGTTCTTAAAATTAGTTTCAAAAATCACGAGAATCGATCTCATGTTCCTGAAGCAATACATGTTGGGTTCCTGACGTCTCCTATTGAGCTTGCAGTTGCCTCCCTTTACATATAAAGGGGTATAACTCTGGGTGTGATATTGCTAAACATGCTTGTCTGCGTTCTTCCTATCATCTTTTTATTATGCACCTGCTATAGTTTAGGAAATCAATTTACTGTTGATACGAATCCAAAGAATTTTAACAATGCACAGTAACATGTTATTTTCTGTAGCTGATCTCTCTCTCTCTCTGACGCGTGATGGGGGTATTACAATTCAAAACTTCAGCATAAATTCTACAAAATTTAATTTTAGGATCAGTCATAAACAAACGTCCTAGTAATAAAGCAGTGCATTAAATCACGTTTTTTATCATGCATATTTAAAAGAATCCTCTCTGTGTGTGTGTGTGTGTGTGTGTGTGTGTGTGTGTTTTGGGTCTGTGTGCATTCTAAACTTTTTGCCTACACATAATAATTGGCTCAGTTATGCCCCTGGAAATAACACTCTGTGCAGATAAAAATATATGAGAAAGTCATTACCAGACTGAATCTTTCATGTTGCCTTTCTCACTAGATAAAGTAATGATATTCAGCTCTGTAATGCTAATGTATATTTTGCTTTCTTTTTAATTTTGTGCAAAACCAACTCAAAAGCAATTAGGTGAAGGTGTTTGATTTTTCATGTTTTATATATACACTAAAGTAAGGCTACAAATGCTTGGAAAATGCTTTTTGACTTCAATATCAATATGATGAAATTGACACAACATAAAAGCACATATGATACATGTACGACTCTACCTAGTTGGAAATTAAAGCTCAGATGAAAAAATGCACTTGAGGGGTGACTTCACAGGAGGACATTTTAACGTTTTAACAACATTCGTAAACATTCTAAGTACAAACTGTAGTTTTGAAATACAGACTATAATTATTCATATAGCCTCAACTAATTAAATTACATAAATGATTGTAAAAAGTTTGGGGTTTTTTAACATCTATATGTGAAAACGATGGAACTGTTGTAGTAGTTCCAATTCAAAATAATTACGTAAAAACACCTTAATTCAAATCGCATAGATAATCTTGTTCACCCATAGACGTTTCACTTCGTGTATGAGCACTGAACTGGCAACATGCGACTTGATATCTCTGCAGAACAATTAATTTCGAATTTATACCAGTATTTCATACTGGAGAAACAAAGGGGTAAACCTCTCGGCAGCTATGACAGGGTTTACTAAAGAATATGTAAAGCCCTTGATTTGACATATAGTCAGGTTTACAAAGTTGTAAACAAATCAGTTACCTCAGGGGTCATGTCAAAATCAAAACCAGGTAGGAAACACAAACTGGATAGCTTTGATAAGGGTGTCATATGGGGTGCAGTTTATATACTGTATTAACGCAAAATCCACAGACGTGTGCTAACATACAAGATGAGATCAAAGATACAATACATGTCCTGTTGATATTCCGCTAGAGTCCTCAACCAGCAGTGACACTACTGACACTTGATATTTTGAGACGGTCCCTGACATGTACTGCCCGTGCGTTACATAATGCTGTCACCCTGTCTGCCTGCCAAGTTTTTCGATATTTTACGAGTAATCATTATGATTAGGGAATGGTACATTGTGATAACTCATATGCCATATTAGGTCGAGGTGGTATGAATGATTATATATGAGTTTTGAATCTGAAATATCAACCATTGTCAAATAGTTGCCAAAAAGCATTTTCCAAGCATTTCTGGCCTTACTTTAAAGCACAATTTATCTGAAGCTTAATACTCTACACAACTGAAAGCGTGTGACAAATTATATTGGTTTGCTTATAATCTCTTGTAAAAAGAATAATTTTGCTGGTCTGTACAGTGATATAATAGACTAAATTGATCTCTGTACACAGCAATCTACATGAGCCCAAGTCTGACTGACTACTTACTGGAATTCGTGGCTGAGATATCCCATCAAAACGTGCTCCAGCATCGAAAGCTCCTCCAACAACAACTGTCCCTGGCTGCTGAACCATCATTTGTTGAGCCACCTGCAGAAAAAGGCAAATTCTTACAATGAGTGAGTGAGTGAGTTTGGTTTTACGCCGCTTTTAACAATATTCCAGCAATATCATAGGCTTAACACATTGTACCCAAGTGGGGAATCGAACCCGGGTCTTCGGCATGACAAGCGAACGCTTTAACCACTAGGCTACACCACCGCCCCTGCAAATTCTTACAAACCTGGAGCAGTGACAATCAACCAGATAACGTCATTTACAATCTGTGACCGAGTTGTCGAGAGGAAATGTTTGTGCATCGCGCAGGGAAAGAGGTTCTAGTTTACTGGCAGCATACGGAAATTACCGAGACCTTGCGAATGATCACTTTTGAAACGTCGGTGATTGCACAACTAAATCTGATCGCAACCAATCACGAATCCTGAACACTCGCACCATGAAAGGGCCGAATTAGAACAGAGGTTCGTAGGAAGATACAAGCAACCTCTGTGGAAAAAAATTAGTGTGCCCTTCAACGAAGGTAAACAAGTTAGGGAAATGAAGGTAAGAATTTATTTTTATAGCACAGAATGTACAATGTGAATGACACCCGGTAAAATCTATGTACAAAGTGACACCCCCACCCTCATCCCACGCATGTGCAAAATTACTCACCTCCCCTAGTACATGTGTACAAAATTGATGACCCCCTCCCCAGAATCATCATCACCCCAGCCACACCCAGCCATAAATTATGAACAGTCCCTTTTATTTTAACCTTGAAAATAATACGTCTCTACATTGAAGCAACTCCTGAACCTTTGCCAAAAATGTGACCCTGACAGAATTACAGAGACAAAAAAAACACCTCAAAAACTATCTACATATCTGTAAGGTGATTTCCCAAATGAAATGCCTTGGACAAACTTTCAACAAAACTGTCAACAGCCCAAACACCATCCATTGATTACCAACAAATGTCCATCATCAAGCGATGCCCAAAATAAGTTGTCCCCTTTGAACAATATGCATACACTTAAACCACTGCTAATGAAAATGATTCACTATGCCTGGGTACATAGACCATTCTTTTCACAGAAATAGGAAATCATGATCTGAATGTTGTGCAGCTCCTGGGAAACAGGAAGTAATACAAGGAGGAAGCTCAGGATAAGAATATATCTACTCCTTGAAAACTGACATTTCTGGGAAATAACAGACTTTTCTGGATTGGCTAAAGAGCCAAATATGTTCCAACAACAAAATGTTGGCAACATCACAGATTTCAGCAAACCGTAAACTGATCTGTCAAATTGACTCTCATAACAAAAAAATAGCAACAGCATATTACCAGCGATATATATTATTCACCAATGGAATTATTGTTATTCATATTTCACTGTAAACTTGTGGAACTTATTACTAAAATGTTCACCCCATTTCAGTATTTGCATTTTCAAACTGATGCACCACAATGTTACTTTAAACATGAAGAAAATATAATACAGCAGAAAATTGTACGCTATATTAAAGATCCCATATACTCTAGGGGGATACAAATACATAAATCACTAAATGGCATCGTTATAAATGAAACCCCATCATTAAAACTACTCATTTCGATCTTTAATTACCTTAAATCGAATTTTTCGACAACAGTGCACAATTCTCAACTGCGAACAAAATTTCAACCCAATCAGAGCAACGCATCTCTGTGACGTCATATGAGGAATAGATATGAGGGCCGATGCAGAATTCATGTACATTTCAGGGGGTAAATTATCTTGTTTACAGGTTTGTATAAACCTGAAATCGTGACAACTGTTGTGAACAATGAAAGCTTATGTTCTCACAATCTACTGTCATTTAATTTTGTCTCTTGCTTTGCCTAGTTTCCGAGTTACAACTTGTTTTCATAGACGATTCTGTCAAAATCGCTTGGTGTCGCTAGGCCTTATTTGTTCGAGCCAGACGCTCGTGATAGCGAAAACGATGATCAGCCTCGCTCATCACGGTTACGGTTAAGTTCTTCAACCTAAACAGTGCGACATTAAGAAGGGTGGATGCCCATCAGATGCAGTTATTTGAAAATATCCCTGGTAGTTCTTGTCTGATTGTAATAAAGTATCAAAGCAGTGTGGGCTTTTTCAGGTTTTCTAATGCCTGGATGGTATAATGACTGATCCAAATTGATCACATTTCTGTGTATTTTTACCTCATTATTTAATCATGTCATGTAAAAATATGACGTCTATTTACGTATGATATTAAAAATTGACATTTGATTTATTTGAATCCGTAAAGTAAACAACCCTACTTTGCCATTGCTAGAAGAATCTGAAAATTTACTTAGGTAAATAGGTACATACACTTTTAGCACACAGCAAATGCTTATATGTATTTCTTATGCAACAATGAAGTTCTGTTTGTATTTTCAGTACAGTGTCGGCCCATAAGTTTTCACATGCAATTAAAATTGCATGCAATACAGCAATTAATACTCCCTTGTTCTAAGCCGGGTTAGGTGGCATAAACCTACACATGTTATTTGTCATCATTCACTAGATGGTCAGTTAATGAATTTATAACAGGTATAATTTGTGGTAACACCACTTGGATTACCCGACAAAGGTTCCCATTTGGCATTTCTTGTGTCTGGAGTAAATACTCAACATTATAAACATCGATCAAAGGATTAACTGATTAACCGCTGATTGATTAATTACTTTTTTTACACAGTGGATTTGTCAAAAGGTAGTGTTTATGTATGTAGATTTACTAATCTATACTGAATACACTCTGTCGTGTGTGTGTCTGGAAAAAACAACATCTTTCTTTCAAAGGATTAACCGCCAATACATTGATTGATTGCTAATTATTGGATAACTAAATTACTTTTTTTTAAAGAAAGGCGGACATTATGCAATTAGTTGCCAGGTGTGCTATCTTGGGTAAAAAATGAGACTATGCACCAATGTGAAATACCTGAAACGATATGTCACTTTTTCGTACATTAGACTGACTGAGTTTAGTTTTACGCCGCTTTTAGCAATATTCCAGCAATATCACGGCGGGGGACACCAGAAATGGGCTTAACACATTGTGCCCATGTGGGGAATCGAACCCGGGTCTTCGGCGTGACGAGCCAATGCTTTAACCACTAGGCTACCCCACCGCCCCTCGTACATTAGACTGTAAAAAGACACATCACTTGGAACAGCTGCAGATGAATGGCATATCACTCGTTTTTGTGGATATTGATGGATACATTCCTCGAACAAGGTAATAGCCTGACATTGTTCCTATAACTTTAATCTGTTTTAATTTGAATATATGCAATTTGTTTTTATTCATTTGTCGTAGCATTCAACAGATCATTGTATTCGCTGTGAAGTGTAATGAGACAGACAAAATACACTAGAGCGTGTGTGCGAATTATGATTCACATTGGCAAACTATAAAATGTCTAGATATTACAGTCCTGTTATAAATTCACTATAAGTATCAGCAGATCGTCTGCTATTTATTTAGTTTCAAAATGCATACAACTATGATAATAAACTAATTAGGATTATAAGACCAAATATAAAGACGTACATTGACTAGCATCTACATACTGGTGAGTGGACGTTAACCACGTGAATGTAGCAAGACATTTATCACGCAGTATTGTTAATTCAACCCCCACCTCACTTCTGTGGAAGAAATCGTTATGTTATAAGTTGTGACAAGCAAAATCCTTTTGGTCATGATGCAAATACATATTAAACTACGAGTAGAGAGTAGTTTTAATTTTCTAAGTTGATGAAAACAAACCATAATCTCATTTTTCAAAAATGGCGGCGCCCTGTCGCGAACATCCGCCAGTCTGAGGATAAATGCTATTTAGGTTTGATTTCACCGAGTTACAAAATCAAAACTACTTTCTACAGGTAGTAAATGTATTTCATTGATTGCCAATAGGATTTTGCATGACATAGCTTAAAACATAACAATTTCTCTCATGGAAGCGAGATGGGTGTCAATATAATACTACTAACAGTATTATTGTTACTTCGACCACAACCGAGGAAGAAATCGTATGTTACAAGTTGTGTCATGGAAAATCTTTATGGTTATCAATCATATACATATTTTACTACAACTAGTAAGTAGTTTTGATTCTTTAACCTCCGTGAAGCGATCTAACACAAGTAAGATATCGTTTCAGGCTTCCACAACGCTCTCTTCGCACTGACAAACATAACCCATTTAGCACAAACTGCGGGGTCCTGTGGAAATCTGTGCATGGTGACACCATCGCCCGACCCCTAGGAACAATTGACGACAACGCAACGATTCGGCATGTCTTCGTTGATGTCGAGAAATCATCAAAATGACGAGCTTGCAACACACTTTCTATACAACAAACAGAAAATCCTTCCTCATATGACATCACTGCAGTCCTCTGGCGACAGAGTTACATAACCTGTCTGTGGTTTCGTTGGCGGGCGAGAGTGAAGCAGGCATCTTTTGGCAACTTTTAATCACTCGGTATTAATTAACCACACGTTTTTTATGAATGAATTTGGTGTTCCACATAAGACTAACCACAAATCTTTCATATGTAATAGTTAAAAGAGTACAAAAATACTATTCTTGTAACAATAAAGCAATTCTGAATTGAATGAATTTCTGAATTGTCAATTTGTGTAACATGGCAATGTCCCCAGCAAAAGAATGAAATATGTAATTTTTAGAGTAAAATTGATATTTTATACTTATCCTGACTCATGCTCTTTTGCTTGTCTTCTTCTTCTTGCGAACATAGTGGAACACTTGTATCTCCTTATTTGAAGCTCCCTTCAAAATAAAATCACTAATTGGTACTCACCACGAGTTGCTCCCCTTTGTCTCCCCTGGCGGGAAAGGTGTCGCCACCCTCTGGCCATGTGCTCCACTCTCTCCTGATTTGCTTGAGCCCAACACTTGAATTTACAGGAAATCCAAAGTGTTATGTGGGGAGGATGGGAGGAACTAACCTCATGAGTCAGGATAAGTATAAAATATCA